CTACAAAACTATTGAATCACAGGAAACAAATTGATTGTGTTACATGCTACCAAGCTAAGACAGAACCAAAGAGGTAAGTGACAACTCAGGGATGAACAGGGAGAAACCAGTAATACATGCACAAGCTCAGAGGTGGGACCAAACCCAAAGAACCCAACCAGAAACTCCATCAAGAACTTTGCAACCAACCCAGCAAGAAGTCTGAACATCTGGGATGAGTAATAGCAACCAGGTTCTTCATCCCAGGGGCAAGCTCTGCTAGGGGCCTCCAGGGCCCTACTAAGGGCTGTGCCAGGTCCAGTGAGGTAGAAGCACAGGGAAGGAAACACTATGCTGTCACTTGCTAACTGACTGATCCTTTCTCAGAGGACAAACACATCTGAGCCCAAACCAGGTGTAGTCCAAAGGGAGGAAAATCACAGATCACATGAATTTCTACAGGTCTGTTTACAAGGGTTGAAGAAGGGCTGGAGAGGGGCAAGGAAGAGGCTCCAGGAATATCGTAGGGGGAAGGGGAGAGAAGAACCACCGGAACCCAAGGGGCAGGGGGGACTTCCAAACCATTCACCATTCTGTTCCTTCTAGGCTGCCAGCACCAGGCCACTCTATCACAAAGCCTCACGCCTCCTGTCCTGAGATGCTCTGCTATGCCCAGGCCAACAGCCTTATCCAAGGATGCTAGATGACTGTGGTGTCCTTTGCTACACTCCCCTCTTAGTCACAGAAAGGCCCGAGCTAGAGCAGTACTAAAGCACTGGTGATGTGATTCCTCAAGACCCTTGGAGGATCTGATTCTGATTCCTATTCTACGCACAAGGAAACCAGGGCCCACCGGCGTGAGGCCACTTGGCCCTCTCACGTCAGCTCGGACAACCGATCTGAGACCTGGAGTGTGGGTCTGTTCTCTGAAGCCTCAAACTACCTTTCCATACGCCCGGCCTATGCACACCAGGCCCTGCGTCCTTCCCGAGCGGGTCTCTGCAACCAGGAAGTCCTTTTCCCAGTAGCCTGGTCTCTGAGCACCCCAGGTCACACTCCACCACACCCGCGCCCCTTATCCCCCCATTCCAGAAGACACTATCTCATGAACACGTATCCAGGATTGAGCCCTAGTACTGCCAACTCCCTGATACCCCCTTTCTCTCACCATGCACCCTCTTCTCAGAAAGAAACACCAACGCTGGACGCTAGAGTCCCCCCTACTCCCGCCTAAATGTTTCTCCCTGACCTCCAATCCTCAGCTCTGCCAGGAAACCAACCTTTCTTCACCTCAGATCTCTGTCCTGGGTCTCTGAGACTTTCCCCAACCTCCTTGACTCCCTGCTACCCGCTGGGTAATGCAGATGTGACCTGCCACCCATAGCTCACTGCACCCCACCACCCCAAGTCCCAGGGCACACACATAATTGCTCTGGGCACCCAGGAGTCCTCAACTGGAAACACGCTCCCCGCCCCCACCCCAGCCAACAGGTTTTCTCCTTCCCTTCCACCCACATCTCCGGACCCTCGCCACTGTCCCTCATCTGCTAGAACTACACACCCCAGCTTTAGTCGGTCCCCCACCGACTGCGGCCATTTCAGACCGGACCGACGCTAAGTCCAGTTCCCCCGGCCATGCCCCGTCCCCACCCCCGGGTTATCCGCCCCTCAGGGCCTTCACAGTCCCGGGAAGCATCCTCCTGAGAGGCATCCTCCCCGCCACGCCGCGAGCCCGCCAGCAGGTCCACCCCCAGCACGAAGCCCAGGATGCCCCCAACTCTCTGACAGAAGGGGATGCCCCCAGGACCCCAAGCTCATCCTGGAGTGCACAGCGCCCGTGCCTGGCAACCCCGACTCCACCCCGGTGACACCCCCCAAAAACCTCTCTCGGCCACAGCACTGTTGAAGACTTGGTCCCCGGCGCCCCGTCCCCCCGCCGGGAGGACACAGGCCCCCGCGCCCACCCAAAGTCCCCGAGTCCCAGCGGGCTTCCGACTCTGCGGCTCCAGAAACAGGCGTTTCCGGCCCCCTCTCTGCGCCGACTCTCGGTCGCCCCCAGCCCAGCCCCCGCCGCCGCCCCCGCCCCGCGCACTCTCACAATGTCCGTCCGGCCCCGAGTAGCCGCCAGGCTCCGAGCGCGGCTGCAGCCCGGGCGGCGGTGGCTGCGCGGTCCCGTCCAGCTCGGAGCCCCCCTCGGTCTCGACCTCCTCGTCGTCGTCGTGCCCGGGTCGCCCCGGATCGTCGTCGGCCTCGGGTTCCCGTTCGTCGTCGGGCTCCTCGGCCTCTAGCGCCGCCCGCAGCCGCTCAGCTAGCTCGGCCTTGAGGCCGCGAGTGTCCAGGCCGCGGCGCTGCAGCTCCTCGCGAAGTTCGTTCACCTTCAGACGGCGCACATCCATGGCCCGGGCCCCCGGGGTGGCCCCCGAGCCCGGCCCGGCCTCCCAGGGCTCTGTCCCTCTTAAACCTTTCCTGTCAGGAGGCGACTGGGGAAGTGGGGGGTGGGGGGGGTGTGGGGGGGCACTCCAAAAGCGGTGGCGGCTCAAAATGGCCGCCACCGCCGCCTCCTCCTCCTCCTCCTCTGGAGCCCCATACGATGCAACACCAACGCCAATTGGTTACTGCGTGAGGGCAACGGGCGCGGGCCCGGAGGCCCAGCCAATCACGGCATCGCTTTCAAAAGAACTGCAGTGGAAGGGCTCAGAAGCTACCAGAGAGGAAGCGTTAGCCTGCGTCGGTGCCGCGGCCCAAGCGGAGGGCGGGAAAAGGCGGGAGGCGGGGCTCGCGTTGATTGGGTGACAGTCCCGCGTGTCTTTCCTGCACGAACCTGTCATTAAACGAAGGTCTCTGTAACCTATGTCCCGATTGGTCCAGATCTCCCGCCCCGACCAGGAATCTGAGCGGGCAAAACCCACTAGAACCAATCAGAGGGAGGGTCGGCAGAAACCCCGCCTTCCACCTTTGCCTTTAAGAAACCGGAAAGAGATGAGTTCGCCAAGCGCCCGCCCCCTGCCGTTAGGGCGGTTTCAAAACAATCTGTTCGCCAATCGCCGGATTCGTCTTAGCTCGTCCCCCGCAGGTAGAACGACGGGTCGCTTTAGGAAAAACGAACCAGATTGGCCATCCTTCTTGAGCGGTCTGCCTCCCAAATGTCGCCTGCGGAGGGAGGTGGATGAAATCCAGTCGAGAATGTATTCTTCACCTGGGAGAAACTCGGGGCGGAGGGCGGGGGGTGGGGGTGGGGGAGAGGCTTGATGAAAAGAGCCCTGAAGGTTTGAAAAATCCGGGCTGGATTAACAACGGGGTAAAAAATCGCACTGCCTCCCCTTTGATAGGTGATCGCGTAGGGCGCCTCTCTGCGCGATCACAGCTACGCCGCGGCCTTTCTCTAAGGCTGGTACCTAGCGTGGAAATGGATGTTCTGCAGGCAACCACAAAGCCTCCGCCTCCAAGAAGATTCCCATCCCCCACCCCGCCCCACCCCCCCTCCGAAGTTGGCGAGCCCTTCTTCCCGCAAACCCCCCCCCCCCCCCAAAACCGGCAATTTGTCGTCTTAGGGCTGACGAGCGCAAACACACAAGTCCGGTCCCTAAGCTTCACGGCTAGTCAATGCAAACGCCACCGCGCTATTCTAACGCTTTCCACCACCTGTCGCCTCCAACTCAAAAGACAGCAAACGTGAATAAAAACCCCACGACCGAGATACCCAATGCAAACGTCCGCTGAGCCCCTGAGCCATACCTGAAGCCCCACGGAAGCCCGACACAATCTACCCAGACAAAGGCGCACACGCGATGGATAAGCAAATGGCCGTGAATCACGTCAAGTGCATCTGTTCAATGGGGATCATGCACCCGGTTACTGTGCGCACAGGCAGGCGGCACCGAAGCATAAAGACACAACGGGCCAGTCCCACTAGCAGCGTCCACGACAGCATCCTAGACACACAGCACCCACTCAGAAGCGGGACAGACACTCACGTGGGCCCGGAGGTTCCAGTGCAGACACCCCGCCCCTCGCCCACATCCGACTTCCTCTCTCCTCCCAGCCGTCCACGACGATTTGTTCTTTTAAAAAAAAAAAAAAAAGTTTGTGGCCCGGATTGAACTGTCCACGGTTCTCCGCAACCGCCAGCGGGGGGCGTCCGGGCGCTGCCTGCCGAGGGCTCCTCCGTGCGTTGCGGGACGCGCCCGGGGATTTGTGCCCCGAGGCCTGGTGCTGCCCAATCCCGGGGCGCAGCATGGCCCCCGGGCAAGAGAGCCGCTGGGCACCTGCGCGGACCGAGACGTTCTGCGCCCGTGTGTCCACGCGAGACTACGCGCTTGGGTCTCTGAGTTAGCATCAGCCGCCGAGCATCTGTGTAGCTGGACTCGCGCGTTGCATCAGCCTTTCTCTCCTTTCTCCCCAGTCCATCCTATTAATTTGTTTTTGTTTTTGTGTTGCGGTCACACCTGGCGTTGCTCATGGCTTACTCCTGGTTCTGCGGCTCAGGAGTCATTCCTGGAAGACCAGGGGGACCATATGCGGTGCTGGGGGATGGAACCCAGATTTATCACGAGCAAGGCAAGCCCAGGGAACTGTCGATCTGTCCCAGCCCTTGCTATTTCTGGTTTCTCCCCACTAGACATCTAGCTAACTGTGCATTCATGTTGGCAAAATGTATTTGCCTCTGGGATTTGTATGTACTCCCTGTATCCATTAGTTCCTGGGATGCCTGAGAATGACCACAGGTCAGTTATTTGGGAATGTGGTGTCTCCTGTCGAGTCTCAGTATGGCTGCATCTCTTTGTCTGCTGGTCAGTGCATATGTTCATTATTCTACCCCCTGAATGAGGAGAGAACTCCTGGAGCCCATAAAATCCTTCTTTCTGATGGGGAGTCCAGAGTTCCCAAATGAGAGTTTACATAATGGCGGTGTGGAGACACAAGTATGGTAATAAAGACTTTTATATGATTTTTATATGATCTGAGCACCTCTTGGAGACCCAGGAGTCACCACTCTGTATGGAGGCATAGAAGGGACTCGTGGGGGGGACACTGCATGATCCCCTTGGTAAATGAGGGATTCCTAATATATTGCACAGGCTGGGGGGGGGTGACTCACCCCCACATGTGAGGAGAAGGAAAGTAGAGCAGGGAAACAAATGGCAGATAACAGACACATACTGTAAAGTGAGAACCACAGGGGCTTTATCTGGGAATCCTAGACTGATGAACCTTTGAAATCTAGCATTTGAATTTTCAAATTGTAGTGTCTAGTACCTGAAGACTTAGGAATGTGGATTTGTGGCTTCCTTAACTAAAATCCTAGCGAGGCAGACTGGAGCATGACCCCCAAGGAGTCAACATTAGAAATAATGAGGACGTTTACACCTAGCAAGTCACAGCTAACTATAAAATCTTGTCATTCAAATTCAGACTTTTGGGCTAGTCACAGAATCTAGAGTGCCATGGAATGTAACAGAATAAAACAACGTTAGGATCTCAAAGTTTAATTATCTAGAATCTTGCAGTTTATAGTCTAAAATATAGGGTGCGAAGACTAAGTCTTAGGCTGTAATCCCTTAAAGTATTAGACTTTAGAACCCTCATCTTAAAACTTTTAGACTTTTGATGATTCTAGAATTTAACACCTTGGGAACCAAAATCCCATAACAAGAGTTTTTAGAATCATAAATACTTAATATAATCTTAATCATAAAGAACCCATAATTGACCACCATTAGAATTTGCAAAGATAAAATTCTCCAAGCTTTATAATCTAGATTTAGACCCTTAAGAAACATAGGACATCAAATTTTAGAACATTAACCCTTAGAATGTTCAGACCCAGAACTGTAGCATTTTTAGGAATGTAGCATGTATACACCCAGGTTCAAAGACTTTAGAAAAATAATAATCTAAAATCATAGAGCTTTATCTCCTGTAACTATAAACCTCAGAACTCTAGGAATATAATTTCGTGAGGATGGGGGTGGGGTTGGGTGGTAATCAAAAATCTTAAAACCAGAAAATCTTGAGCCAGAGCATCTCAGCCTTAGAATATTAGGACTTCTGGGTCTAGAATCTTAGTACCTTAGAATAAGAGACTTTGGAATTTGGGCAGTTCCTGAGGAACCAAAGACTCCTTGAGACTTAGAACCTTTGAATGGAGATTCTTCGAACTTTAGATTCCAGAACCTTGAAATGTCCGAGTTGGAAGGACGCTGAGGTTGGTCACAGGCCAACCCTTTCTCTTATACAGGCAGACACTAAGATGTGGAAGGGAGCAGATGTGTCTGGGATGAAAGTGGCAGAGTCAGGAAGAAGAGCTGCGGGGGGAGGGGGCAGGGAAGAGGTGGATTGGGAAAGGAGCTGGGCCGGGGGAAGGCCCCTACCCCAGTGGCAGTGCCAAGCTTGGGTCTTGAGGAGTCCATGTGCAAAATGATCTCAGACCCCATCCTCCTGTTCTGGGGGTATAGGAGGGGAGTCCCTGTCAGCAGGTAGCATGGGACCAGGAGCCGTAGAAGGGCAGAGGACGTAGCGTCCAGCAGGATGGACTTCGGCCGAGGTGAAACAGTTGCAAGACTCCTTGGGGTCAGGCTGGGTGGGGGGGTCAGCGCCTCCAGCAGCCCCAAGGGGTTCTGAAGGACCTCTGCCCTCATCCATGTTGACGTAGAGGATCTCCTCGGGCTCCTGGGCAGGGGGAAGGGCCTTCAGTGTGTTCTCCAGCTCTTCCCGCAGCTCCATAAAACTTGGCCGGTCCCGGGGGTTCAGCTCCCAGCATCGAGACATCAGAGCATACCTAGGACAAGCAAAGGAAGGGGTGGGAGGCTTAGCGGGGCCTCAGAGGGGTCCTCAAAGTGCTCGTTGGAAGACTATGAGGTTCTGGGAGTATGGCAGGGAGGGAGGAGTGACTGGGAAAGGGGAATCCCTGGGGATTTGGGGTTTCCATGAGTTTCTGATAGTGAGGTGGGGAGTGGGGTCTGGGTATACACAGGAGCTGGAAAGGGTCTTGGGAAACTTCTCTGTGGAGGGCAGATTTTTGTCAGAGCAATTGCATGTCCAAAAGAAAGCGTGGCATCAAAGCTCTGCTGCTCGTAAAGTTGTGTTGGTTCCAAATAAAGGCTCAGGGGCCACAACAATTGTATAGCAGGTAAGGTGCTTGTCTTGCGTGAGGCCAACCCAGGTTTGATCCCTGAGGCCTGCCAGAAGTGTTTCCTGAGTGCAGAACCAGGAATAACCCATGACTGGGTGTGACCCCCAAAAATAAAAACAAAAACAATAAAACAAACACAGATTTCAGGCTGAGAGAGAGAGAGAGAGAGAGAGAGAGAGAGAGAGAGAGAGAACAGTGGACAGTAGGTAGGGCATTTGCCTTGCACACTGCAGCACTGCAGATCTGAGTTTGATTCCCAGTACCATTTATGGGACCCTAAGCCAAATCAGGAGTGATCCCTGAGCACAGAACCAGGAGTCAACCCAAAGCACTGCCAGGTGTGATGCCAAAACAGGCAAAACCAGCTGAGGGATCCGGTGGAGGTTTCCCAGGGTCCTCGACACAGTGGAACTCTGGGTGGGGTGCAATATTTGGCTGTGGGTTCTGGGGTTTGGCGGGTTGGGGGGCTGGTGCTCACAATCCATCCAGACAGTCCAGAGGCTGCTTCAGGCGGTTCCCCTGGCGCAGGTAATCGTAGATCTCGCTGTTCTCCACACCAGGATATGGGGTTTGGCCCCGCGTGGCAATCTCCCACATGGTCACCCCGAAGGACCACTGTGGCATGCAGGGGGATAGGGAGGATGAATGGGTCTCTCCTGCCTGATGTTACCCGCCTCCTGGCACACTGGCTCCTAGGACAGCCCCACTAGGCACCCTCAATGCTTGCAGACATCCACAGTACCAGCACACCCATGGAGGTGACCCCAGACTCACCCACATGCACCCTCGCACATGTCCAGGCCCACATAGCCTGCACCGGGTGTGCATACACACCACTCAGCTGTCTACCTGCCCGCTACCCAAAAACAACAGCTCACCCTGGTTCCCTGCATTGTTCACAACCACTTCCTCTCATGCCTCACCTCACCCACTTGGACAAACTCTCAGGGGCAGGTGTGTGCAAGCCACCCCCTCTCACTGTCGCCCACTCCATTAGGACCCTGAGGGCAGACAGACCACATCGCTTTTGCTGGTGTAGACTCTGTCGGCCAGACTTTCGATGGCAATCCACTTGACCGGCATTTTGGCGATGCGCCCCTGGCGGTAGTAGTCTCCATTGTAGATCTTCTTGGAGAGCCCAAAGTCCGCCACACACACAGACATGTTCTCATTCAGCCTGTAGGGATGGTGGGGAGGAGCAGAGGTTAATGGTTCAGGTCCCCTCCTCCAGGAAGTCTGCCCAGACCCTTAGGCAGGTCTTGACTGTGAAGGTCTTATTCTGTGAAGGCTGGTGGGTCCCGAGGAAATAGCCTTCCTGGCTTTTTGTCAGACTCTAATGTCTTTCCTTTTGTGTTTGATTCTTTTATTTTATTGAACTGTGTTTTGTAAAGTTGAGGTTTGGAAAACCAGTTCATGGAACTCTTACCAACACACCCATGTAGGAAGGGATGTGGTCTGGTCTGGGAGTGGACGCTTGAGCGCATGCGCGTACACACACACACACACACACACACACACACACACACACACACACACACGGCCCTGGGTTCCATCCCAGACGCCAAAAACCAAACCAAAACCAAAAACACACCCACATAACCAGCACCCAGATTGGGCCCAAGAGATAGTCAAGAGGCTAGGGTGCATGTCTTGCAGTTGGCCAATTAGGGTTCGAGTTCCAGCACCAAACAGTACCTGAGCACTGCCCGAGTGTGGTCCTGGAGACCCCTGAGCACTGTTGACATGGCTCCCGGGAGTTCCTTTACCTCAAAGTCTAAGCAGCACTGCAACCTCAGTCCCTCCCATGGAACCACCAGTCTGGTTAGCCAGAGACTCACAGGTGTGGTGCCTCCTCTTTCAGGAAGCCCTTCCCAACACCCTTGGCTGACTTACCTCTCCCTGTCCTGAATTCTAACCTGCCTCCAAGGGCTCTGTGAGTTGAATGCTCCCCACTTGTATCATATATCCTGGGAGATTCAGGGGATCTGGCTAGAGGATCTGGGGCAGAGAGACTGGAGGAGGGAGGGGGTCCCCTGCAACTCACATGCAGTTCCTGGCAGCCAGGTCCCGGTGGATAAACCTCTTGGTGCTCAGATACTCCATGCCACTGGCGATGTCAGCCATAAACTTCACCAGCATCTGTGTGGGCAGGAACTGGGAGGCGAGGGAGCAGGAAATAGGGGTGAGTCGAGCCCCTGAGCTCCTTCCCTCATCCCATCCTCCTTCCTTTCCTATGTGTGCCCAGCTCTACCTGATGCTTTCCCATGGCTCAGAGCACTGAGGCCAACCCCATTCCGACAGGTCCCCCAGTCCCTTCTGCCCTCCTGACCTGCTCTAATGGGCTGCTCCAGCCGTGGCACAGGATGCCCCCACGGGCCTCCTTTCTGACTGTCAGGCAAGCCCAGCTCCTTCATGCCCAGATGGCAGTGTCCATATTGGGCCGCCTCTACCAGGTCCCTCCTACCTGTGGCTACCCCAAGGGCAGCCCTGCCCATTAGGTACCCCCCATTCATTCCTCTCCTTCACTGGCCTTCCTCTAGAGCCCTGAGTCAGCTTGGTTAGCTATTAATTTGGATGTTTTGTTTGTTTTGCTTTTTTGGGTCACACCCAGCTCTGCACTCAGTACTCAGAGGACCATATAGGATGCTGAGGATTGAACACGGATCAGCCACGTGCAATGTAAACACCCTACTCACTGTACTATTGCTCCAACCTCTTAATTTGGGATATTTATTTATTTTATTTATTTATTTTGGAGCCACTCCTAACTCTGTGCTTGGGGTCTCTCCTGGCGCTGCTTGGGGACCTGTATGTGGGTGGTGTCAGGAACTGAACCGGGGTGGGCAGCATGCAAGACCAAACCCCTGTACTAGCTCTCTGGCCATTGCTGATAGTTTTGTTCATTTGCATGCATATTGCCCAGCCAGTCATCTGGGCAGACAGCTCCAGGAGAGCAAAGTTGGGGCCATCCTGGTCTTCCCAGGGTCTGAGCAATGCCACACACCCGCTAATGGCTCAGTTCATCCTTGGGGACCCGCCACTCTATTGCCCTCACCACTGGCTGGTCCCCCAGGCGGGAGTAGAGGAGGAAACTGTGAAGATCTCCATGCTTCATGAAGGGAAGGATGACCACAGGCGCCGGGAAGCCTTCCCGTTCTGAGCCCTGGAAACAGACACCTAAAACCCCACCCCATCCCCCCGGCCCCAGCAGTCAGGTCATGGTCATCCCACCGGAAGCAACCCCTCCCCCATTCTCTTGTGGTCCCCCCACCCTTCAGGCTTCCACTTTAGTGGGGATGGGGGGATGGCAAAGACCAAACTTCAGAGAAGCCATTTCTAGTCTGGTTCCCAGGGATGGTTCCCGGGCCCTCCTGGGGACCTTCGCTATTTCTGGAAAGGTCAGAGGTCACATTCCAAACTGAGGGAGAGAGCTGGGGACTGGGGGTGGGGAGGGTGCAGACTTTGAAGGCTCAGGAAGCCTGGAGGTCTAATCTTGGGATCTGGGTCTTGCCAATCCTCCCACTGCTGAGGATTCTACAGATGCTCCACCCCCTGCTTCGTACCTCCTATCACCCACCATTGCCTCTCCTTACCAATGAGTCTCATGACATTGGGGTGGTCAAATTCTTTCATGCAGACGGCCTCACTCAGGAAATCCTCCAGCTCAGACCTGGTACAAATGGCAACTGGGGGAGGCAGGGAGGTGCATGAGGCAGTATCCCTCCACACTCCAGCACTTTCATTTACGTTGATTGGGAAGGTGGGTGCTGTAGTTCTGAGCACCCATTCAATCCCCCGAGGGGCTGCTAAGAGTTCTCCTTTTCCCCATGTGAATGATGCCAACCTAGGCCCAGAAAGGTTAAAAACCCAACAAAGGCTGTTGGGATGCCCAGGCAGTATGGCTTCTGGTCTAGTGCCCATAGCTGGTGGGCTGTTTCCCCAGGACACCCCCACTAGCTCTAAGGGTTCAGATTCCTCAGATGATAATATGATTATTCTCTTTATTTCCCCTGCTTTTGGGGAGGTCACATCTCCTGACAGTGCTCAGGGATAACTTCTGGTGGGGCTTGGGAAACCCTATGGGGTACCAGGGATTGGACCTGGGTTGGCCACATGCAAGGCAAGTGCTCTCCCAGCTATCCTATGTCTCCAGCCCCAGAATTATTCCCTTTTGGTTTCGTTTTGTTTGGGTTTAATCTCTTCAGCCAGCCCTGAAGAAGGCTGAAGCGGGTAGGGTGTTTGCCTTGCACATGGCCGATCCAAGTTTGATTCCTCCGTCCCTCTTGGAGAGCCCAGTAAACTACCAAGAATATCCCACCCACACAACAGAGCCTGGTAAGCTACCCGTGGCTTATTCATATGCCAAATACAGTAACAACAAGTCTCCCTTTGTGTTCCTGAAGTGAGCAGATGTCATTGGGCTACACTAGCATGCAACAGGATACATTACTGGTGCCTGCTAGAGAAAATTGATGAACAACGTGGAGACAGTGCTACAGTGCTAATCCCTTAGTTGTTGTTTTGAGGCCATACCCAGTGGTGCTAAGGACTTACTACTGGCTCTGTGCTCAGGGATCACTCCTGGTGGGGTTCAGGGAACCATAATGGGGTGCTGGTTGGCCAGGTTGGTTGGCCACGTGTAAGGCAAGCACCCTACCCACTGTACTATCTCTCTGACCCCAATTTGGTTTGGTTTGGGGGATCACATCTGGAGATATTCAGGGGCTAGTCCTGGCTCAGTAGTGACTGCTGACCACATAGGATATCAGAGATTGAACCCAGGTTAGCAGTATGCAAGTGCCTTAACCTTGTATTATGTTTCCCGCCATAGGATGATGCCAAAGGATTTGAAACACAGTGACTCATAAAGGCCAATAACTTGGCCCAAATTGCACAGTTGGGATTCAGACTCAGGTCAAGGACCTGGTATACAGCAGGTGCTCAAGAATGAATGAATAGATGAGTTTTCCATGCCTGTGATTCAGAAAGAATCATCCCGCTCTTTTCCAGCCCCAAACTGACCATCTCTCCCTCTCCCCCAATGCATGTTCCCTGTGTGAAAAGAACTTAATCCTGGACTTGCTGGATTGTGTCACCCCAGACTGGCTCCCATCCTCTCTGATGACACCAAGAATGTAGTGACAGTCCAAGTTCACTGCATATACTGTGAGAGGCAACCCTCCCCCCCACCCCAACCCTGCCATGAAATGCTTTGCCTAAGAGACACCAAGAAGCAGGGGCATTGTGAGCCATTTTCCGAATGATAAAAGGGAGACTCAGAGGCAGAAGGTCACTGAGATCACACAGATGGTAAATGATGAAGGCAGTCCTCATTGTAGACCTTCCCTTGCCATGCATCATGGGAGCTGGTCTTTGAGAACTACATTTCCCAGGCTTCCTTTCCCACTGGCTTCCTATTGTGTTGGCCCTGGGAAGTGCTGATGGGAGGTCAGCTGGTGAATCAGGACTGGAAGAAGCCCAGATGGCACTGGGCCCCCTTGCTCCCACTTCTGCCTGCAGGTGGCTGTGCCTCAGTTTTCCCCACTTCATTTCTGCCCAGTGTCCTGGCGGTGGGCTCTGGGGACCCCTTTCTTACATTGTGGTGAAACCTCCCCGTCCAGCCTTTCCAGCTGAGGAAGCCAACCTCAACCCTATTTCCTGGGCGCAAACGCCAGAGTTCCTGGTGTGCTAATTAGCTGCCAGCGCTCTGTCTTGGAGGGGCTCGGTAAGGGGGAGGGTTTGTAGGATTGGTGGGATCCCCCACCCTGTGTGCAGACTCACTCTTCATCGTCTTCACAGCCACTTTGAGGATGGAGTCATCCTGGTTGAGCTGACCCTCCATCACAGCTCCAAACTCCCCTGGGAAGGTGCAGAGGGAATGGGGGTCTCAAGAGGACGCCTATATCAGGCTTGCAGGGAGGGTGGGCAGGGCAGGGTAGTTCTAGGGGGTGGGGTGAGGGGTGTGAGCTGGGACCACTCACCTTCCCCCAGGGTCTTGCCCAGGGCCACTTTGTGCCGATCCACCATCACGTCCCGCAGCTTCTCTTTCAGCTCCTCGCTGATACCCAGGTTGTTCACTGCAGGGGAGCAGAGGATGTGCTCAGGGCCAACACCGCAGTGACAGGTACCACTTAAGGCCAGACCCATTATCAAACACGAAAAGCGGGTCAGGGACATAATCCAATGGGCTGAGCCTAAGCCAGATCCACAAATGCAGCTCGCAAGCATTTCCAGGAGCAACTCTTGAGCACGGAGTCCGGAGTAGCTCCCAAACTCAAAGCTAAACCCAGCATGGAAAAGCTTCTGTAATAATATAGCAGGGAGGGTGTTTGTCTTGCACATGGCTGATGTAGGTTCCATTCCCAGCATCCCATAGGATCCTCTGAGCACTTCCAGGAGTAATTCCTGAGTGCATAGCCAGGAGTAACTCCTGAGCATTGCCTAGTGTGACCCCAAAAGTCAAAACAAAACAAAACAAAACAAAACAAAAGGATCTTTGCGTTGCATGCAGCCAGCCCAGGATCATTTCGTAGCACTGCAGGATTCCCTGAAAATTGTCAGGAATAATTCCCAGAATCTCCAGGAGTAGCCTTCCCAACCCTAAGTATCACCAGGTAGTCCCCAGGAAAAAACTATAGGTCCTGCTCCCAACACATCCTCACCCACCTCAAGCATACCCCCACTTGCCCCAGGTCCCCCTCGAATTGCTCTGAATCTTCCTCTAGAGCAGCAACTTGAGTTAAAGCTTGCAAGTTTGCCCTGACTTCCTCCATGGGCACCCCAATGGGTTAAAATTCTTTTAGACCTGTTATAAAAAATATTTCCAGGCTGGAATGATAGTAGAGTGGGTAGGGCATTTGCTTTGTACACGGCCGACCTGGGCTCAATCCCTGGCATCCCATATGGTCCCCCAAGTACTGCCAGGAGTAATTCCTGAGTGCAGAGCCAGAAGTAACCCCAAGCATCGCTGGGTGTGACCCCAAAAAGCAAAAAAAAAAGTATTTCCAAGGAACAGGCTAGAGAGTTAGCTCAGGGCTTAAGGTGCTCGCCTGCACACAACTGACCCTGGTTCTACCTCCAACACTGTATAGAGTTCCCTACGTACTGACAGGAGTTATCCCTGAGTGCAGAGTGAGGAAGAAGCCCTGAGTACCACCCTGTGGGTCCAACATGCCTCCTAGCAGAGAAAAAGAGATTTTGAAGGGCCTGGGGGTACTCAGTGCTCCAGCACATTTTTCAGATGTCAAGCCTGAATTTTAGTCCTCAACGCTCTCTGTCCTACAACTTCTTGTCTGCCTTTGGGAGATTGGGTGCCACAGCAACTGTGACTCCCAGTGAGTCCCATAAACCAAATGCGTGGAACCCAGTTATTGACATAACAGACACCAAATGGGAAGTAAATAACATATGATTCTTATTTACTTTATGATTTCAATAGGGGAGTAATATTCTACCACACCTAGCGGAGCTCAGGGGTCACTCCTGGAGGGGCTCAGGGGGATCATATGTAGTGCTGGGGATTGAACCCAAGGTGTTGGCTAGATGCTTGGTGAGCGCCTTCTCTGCTGTACTATCTCTCCAGCCCTCAGATAAATATTTCAAACTGAGGAGCAGGCTTCATTGGGGTGATGACATCATCAGGCGAGGGAAACCTTTGTAAAACTCTGTAGAAAACCCATGAGAGAACAAGAGCAGAGGCCAAATATTGTCTTGGTGTTGTTACAAAAATGCTGTGAACTTCTGCATCTCCTGCACAGATTGCGGGGACCTTTGGGGACATCCGGGGACACACAGCACAACTGCCACTCCATATTATCCCATTGAATTGCTGCTTCTCTTCCTTTGGTTCAATAAATGTTTTCCCCAGCTGCTTCCAACATCTCCCCAGGGTGCCGACAGCCTTTTCACCATGTGCCAGGAAAATCAAACTCTGTCCCTTTTCTTTTCCTTTTTTATTTGTTTTAGGGTTTTTTTTTTGAGGGGTGATGTGGGCACCGTACCCAGTGATGCTCAGGTGTTACGCCTGGCTCTGTGCTCAGGGATCACTCCTAGTGGATACAAGGGACCATATGGGATCCCGGGGATCAAACCAGGGTCAGTCATGTACCAGGCAAGAGCCCTACCCGCTGGACTATTGCTCCAAACCCTGTTTGTTTTGGGGCCACATCTGATGGTGCTCAGGGTTTACTCCTAGCTCGGCACATAGAAATCACTCCTGGTGGGGTTGGGGAACATAGGGAGTGCTGAGGATTCAACCCAAGTGGGCTACCTGCAAAAAATCGCTCTGGACCACTGTATCTTATTTGTGGTTGAATGGTGGGGGAATTATAAAATTACCCAACTCTTGGGACTGTGATGAGGATTAAATTAAGTGATCCATGTAGAGCACAAACATTTCCACTATGCTTGAAATGCTAGGGCAGCTGCTGGCAGTCTCATCATCATTAATCTCAAAACTATCATATCAACCTCATCACCAGCAAATCTCAACACTCTCAACAAAATCATTAGTCAATATCACCTCATCATCATCCTCAGTCATGTAATCTCAACCTCAACTCTCAACACCATCTCATCATTACTCCTGTCAATATTATCTCAGCATCGACATCATTGTCAATATCATCTCAGCATCAGCATCACTAGTCAGTATCATCTCAGCAACAGCATCGTTGATCAATATCATCTCAGCATCAGCATTGTTGATCAATATTATCTTAACATCAGAATCATTTCCATTGTCATAACTTTCATTATCAGCATATGATGCCGTTATTATGATTATATAGTTCTCCGAGCCCATGGCTCTGAATTTTGGTGCTTCTAAGATTTACTGTGTCTAAGACCCTACTGGTCAAAAGTTTCAGATGGCCCAAACTTCCTGCTGTTCTTAGGATCTTTAGTACCAACAATCAAGTCCTCCCCAGCCTTGAGAAACTTTTGATACCAGCAGGCACAAATCTCTACTGGGATTCACTTACAGGTGGCTTCAGTGGTTCGACGACTGTAGGACTTTCGGACGCGGTATCTGACCACCAGCTCGCCCCTCTCCACGGTTGGTTCAAACACCTCTCTGGGGGGAATAGAAATGGGGTGAGGGTAAGGCAGAGCCGTGTGGCACCCTCCTTCCCACAGTAGTGAAAGTGCCATCTTGGCCCCACGCCCAGTCTCTCCTCTTTTGTTTGCCAAGTGGGTCCTAGCTGTTCTGCCCTTCATTTTCTCCCACAATCTTGCCCTCATTCTGATTCCTCCTGCACCAGCCTCCTCCCAGTCTCCGAACCTCACAGCCCATGGAATGCCAGCTCACCCATAGCGTGTCTCCTTCTTCCGCCGGTGCATGAGGAACAGGGCCAGGATAAGAACACATGCAGCTGCCACAGCTGCTCCCAGCAGTACATACCACCAAGGCCACGAGAAGGCAGGGGCCGGGGGCTCACTCACAGCTAGGGAGTTAGGGGGGATAGTTAATGCCCGAAGTTCTGCATCCAGTTCCCTGGGACCCAAGAGGCAGACACAGACGTGTGACAGGTGCATCTAAATATAGAGGTGTCAGGACTGGGTAGAATGTGCAAGGGAGGCAAAAGAACATGCAACAGTGTTCAGTGCTAGGAGGCATGAGGGGTGCCGAAGGATGACAAGCTCTGGTAAACATTTGACAGGGATGTCCCATCTTTGTCCCTCCATTCACTTATCACTTATTCACTCCATTAACTTATCCATCCCCCTACCTACCCACCATTAATTCATCCACCTTCACCCATGCTTGTCCATCCACCATTCATCCACTTATCCATCCCCCACCTACCATTCATCCATCCAACTATTCACCCATTCCTCTACTTACCCACCCATCCATTCACCCATTTCTTCATTGACCCATCCACCAACCCATCCTTCCATCTATCTATCCACTGAGATATCCACCCATCCCTCCATTCATTATCTGACTGACCCATCCACCTATCCTTCCATCTATGTATGTACCCGCCATCCACTCTTCCATCCACCCACACATTCATCCATCATCCATCCATCCATCCACCCATCCATCCATCCATCCATCCATCCATCCACCAACCCATTCACCTATTCATCCATCCATCCATCCATCCATCCATCCATCCATCCATCCATCCATCCACCCACCAACCCATTCACCTATTCATCCATCCATCCATTAACCCACCCACCTATTCTTCCATCTATTTACCCACCCATCTACCCACCCACCCATCCATTCACCCATCCAATCATCCATCTATCCACCCATCCATCTATCCTATTCAACCCTCAATCATTTGTTTCCTAATTGTGATGCACTAATGCCCACCAGGCATTTCTTCAAATACCCTACACACCTACAGGCAGGCGATTAGTGTGAAGGGTGTGAAAAGCCTGAGGGCACTATGCAAAGGGTTTGCCTGTGAGGACAGGATGCTTGCTGGGTGCTGAGGGAGGCCAGGGAGGGGTGGCAGTGAGTGAGCCCTTACCCAGCTGGTGGATGGACTGTTCTTGGCCTGTGAGGAGAAAGGACAGCAGGATACATGCTCAGAGAGGGCTAGGCTAGCATCACCCGGGCGCAAGAGTGAGGCTCACAGCAGGTGCAAGGTGGGAGGTGGGAAGGGGGTGGGGGAGCAGGGGCACCGCCTGGAACAGGGCTTCCGGGAGAGAGTGGGGGAAGGTGAGGGGCCAAGCACGGCTTTGGGGTTACCTGGCTGCCAGGGCTCCAGGGGCACAGGGAGGCTCCAGGGCCCATCCCCAGCGGCAGTGTAGGCTGCCACACACACCGTCAGGTTGGGCACAGTGCCATCCCCCTGCAGCTCCAGAGTCACCTCCTGCTTTAGCCCTATGTCCATGAGCACCTAGGATGTCCAGAGGCAGCATCAGCTGGGGCTCCCAGCTCGGACTCTTCAGCCTTCACTCTGGGCTTGAGCATCCCTCAACCTCCAGCCCCTCACCCACACCTTTTCCTGTCTCCAGCTCTTGCCTGCCCTCTCATACTTTCATCTCCCGCCTGCATCCTGGGATGCAGGTGATGCCAGTTCCGCCGGTGCCAGCACTCATCAGTGTCCTTCACTGTTTCCGGGGCCAGTGCGGTGTGGCGTACAAGCCCCCACTCTGTGCACCCCCCCCCTCAATCCCACCTGCTCGCTTGGAGTCCCGTGCCTCTAGGAAAAGGGACATTTCCCACAGGCCATATGTGATTTGGATGAATCTAACAGCCTGTTGGCATATAGGGACTAAAAAGAGGGACCACGCCCTGTCCCCTCCCCAGCCCCCACCCCAGTTTACCAGGCGCTAGGTGGAGAGATTGCACGCTCCCAACCAGCAATGTTGCACTGTTCCTAACCATTCCCCAACCCCTGCCCCAGCCAGCAGCACCCACCTCAGGGGTGTCCTGGCCTCGATAGGCCAGCCGGTACCCTAAAAGGGTGCCCTGCAGGGGCGCCCTGGGCTGCTGCCATAGCACGAGGACTTGGCTTCCATTTCGCCTGGCGCTAACGTTCTCAGGGGGGCCCAAGGGCACTGGAAGAGAGGGAAGAGGGGCAGTTGGCACACCCACCTCTTCCTGCCCCTCACCTCTGCTTCCAGGAGGTCAGGGCGGGGAGCCGAGGATGTGCACGTGGGCATTTCGTGCCAGTCCTGGGGCAGAAGCTGAGGTGGAGGGTGGGAGTGAAAATGCCATGCCAAGGGTGGGCGAGTCACACGGGGCACACAGGGGAAAGGAGACCCCGGGGGTGGCACTGGTGTAGGCGACATGCAGCATGGGTGATGCCCACCCCACCTCCCAACCATATCTTACCTCCCTGGGGTGTGAACACAGGCAGCCAGTGTGTCCAGGGCGAGAGACCCTGGGCGCTGCTGCAGGCCACCCGCAAGTGGTAGGGGGTGTGCGGGCGCAGGCTCCCCAGCCGCACGCGGTGAGGAGGCACCGAGGCTTCCAGGCTCAGGGGTTCCTCGGGGGGGTCCGGCTCTCCCAGCCAGACGCCCACCCCGTCGTCCGAGAGCACGGCCTGGGGAGGGAGCAGAGGGCATCAGGACTTGCCACTGTGGCTGTCCCCACGCAAAGACGCAGGCCTGCATGCGTGTGCTTATGTTTCCGTGTGTGATTGTGTGTATTATATTGTGTGGTTGTGTGTGACTGTGTGTGACTTATGTGATTGTGTGATTGCGTGCATGTTGCAACATCTTGTTTTGGACGGTGGTTTCATGGGTGAAGGTGATGGATATTAGGGATGTTATTTATCATCTTTGAAGAAAGAAAAGAAAAGTCAGAGAGATAGGAGAGTAGAGAAGGCACTTGCCCTGCACGTGGCCAACCTGAGCTAGATCCCCTGCACCCCATAGGGTTAGGAGTGATCCCTGAGCATAGTCAGATGTGGTCCCCAAACAGAACAGACAAACAAACAAAGGCTTGGGCCCAAGAGATAGAGGTTAAAGAGTTAAGGCACTTGCCTTGCTTGCTGCTGACCCTGGTTAGATTCCTGGTGAGCACCATTAGGACTTATACTTGAGCACCGCCAGGTGTAGCCCAATAACAAAGAAAAAAAATAAATCTTTTGGGGCTGGAGAGGTAGTGCAAGGGTTAAGGTACCTGCCTTGCACAGGCCTGACCCCTGTTAGTCTCCAGAACAACAGGGGCCCCTGAGCATGGCCGCCCCTGAGCACCACTGAGGAAGAGGGCGGACCTGGGTAATCTCTGGCAGAGCCCGAGTAGCACCACATCCATGAAGCCTTGCATTGAACCACCCAGCCACAGCAGGGAAGTTGGCCACTGCAACCCTCGTGGAACACCTCATGGAAGGCTTACACCCCCGGGGGAAAGAAAAGTTCTTTACAAGTCTGAACATGCTCAATTGTTATGATTGTCTCCATTATACAAATGAAGACAACTGAAGATTGGGTGATGTACTACTGGCTCGAGGTCACCAGTTTGTCATTTATAAAACCAGAACCTCAGGGCTAGAGCAATAGTGCAGCTGGCAGGGCACTTGCCATGGGCTAGAACCCAGGCATTCCATAGGGTCCCTCAATCACTGCCAGGAGTGATTCCTGAGTGCAGAGCCAGGAGTAAGTCCTGAGCACCGCCAAGTGTGCCCCCCCAAAGACTTACACCCCAGCCAGTCTCCAAAACCTTTGCTGTATTTCTAGTGAGCTGCCCAAGAAACTGTGGTAGTGGCAAGAGACAGTCTCTGTGGTCCAGAGGGAGTACTAAAATGGATGATTCCAGCTGCAAAGGCAGCATCTCCTACCCCATTCCCTACCCTGGTGCCTCAGTTTCCTCATCTGTGAAATGGGACCCCATGGGAGGTTCCCCACTTGGTGGGCCGGACGGGGCAGATTCTTAACCCAGGTAATGCCTGCCTGAGTGCCTGAGGGGAGTTTGGCCTCCGTGTTTTGTGTGTGTTTGCGGATTGCCTGGCAACACGTGCCCAACTCTGCACACCAGTGCCTGGAGGCACAGGCTGGCACAGGCTGGCACAGCACCTGGTCTCCAGGAACGGCATGTTCAGGGCTTCTGACACAGCTGGGAGCACATCAGTCCTGTCCTGTCCCTTGGAACCACAGCCCCACAATTCAGGGGTGCTCTCTTCACCCTGGGTTACAACTGGGATGCCCCAATGTGCTGCCACAGGGGGTCACATGCTCACCGCTGAAGTGTGTGGGCTTTGAAGTCAGTCACCCTGGGTCCAAGTACAGGCTTGGCAATGATTTGCTGTGTGACTGAGAGTAAGTGTTTTAACTTCTCTGAGCCTAGGTTTCCATCTCTGGAAAAAGGCATCTGCCAGTACTCATCAGACAAGAGGTCAGGTTTCAGGGTGCAATGCATGCAGGCCAGCGTGCAGGTCCCATCTAGAGCTCTCATTTCTCTGTGCCAATTCTGCACCTAGCACTCTTTCTTCCTTCCTTCCTTCCTTCCTTCCTTCCTTCCTTCCTTCCTTCCTTCCTCTTTCTTTTCCTTTCTTTCTGTTTCCTTTCTTTCTGTTTCCCTCTTTCCTTCTCTCTTTCTTTCTCCTCCCTACCTCCTTCCTTCCTTGTCATTCACTCTCTTTTCTCTCTCCTTCCTTCCTTCCTTCCTTCCTTCCTTTCATTCTTTCTTTTCCCTTCTTTCTGTTTCCTTCTTTCCTTTCTTTATCTTTTCCCTTCTTTCTGTTTCCTTCTTTCTTTCTGTTTCCCTCTTTCCTTCTCTCTTTCCTTCTTTCTCCTCGCTACCTCCTTCTTTCTTTGTCGTTCACTCTCTTTTCCTCTCTCCTTCCTTCCTCCCTCCCACCAACTCCCTCTTTCTTTCTTTCTTTCTTTCTTTCTTTCTTTCTTTCTTTCTTTCTTTCTCTTTCCTTCTTTCGCCTCCTCTTCCTTTCTTTCTTTTTCTTTCTTTCTCTTTCCTTCTTTCTCTTCCTCCTTCCTTCCTTCTTTCTTTGTTGTTCATTCTCTTTTTTCTTTCTCCTTTCTCTTTTCTTTCTGTTTCCCTCTTTCTCTCTTTCCTTCTCTCTTTCCATCTCTCTTTCCTTCTTTCTCCTCCCTCCCTCCTTTCTTCTTTCTTTGTCATTCATTCTCTCCTTCCTTCCTTCCTTTCTTTCTTTCTTTCTTTCTTTCTTTCTTTCTTTCTTTCTTTCTTTCTTCTTTGTGTGGGGCCACAACCGTGGTACTCAGGGCTTACTCCTGACTCTCTGCCCAGGGACCACTCCTGGTAGTGCTCAGGGGGACCCTCTGGGATTCTGGGGCTCAAATCTGGGCTGACTACACTTGAGGCAAATACCTTCCCTGCTGTACTATCACTCTGGACCCTCGATTTCTTTTGTCATTTCCACTTTGCACACAAGGGAACAGAGGCCCAGAGGGGTCCAGAAGCTTGTGTAAACTCACAGAGCCCCCACCCAGCACAGGCCTGAGGACAGGACAGGCAGTGACTGGACAGAAGGATGGTGGGGCTGTATCCATGACTATTCTCTGACCTGTACTGACATGCAGGAAGGGGAACCTCTGCTGGGTCAAGGGGACACCGGGCAGACAGGCTGCCAGCTCCTCGTGCCCACTGTCCACTTCTCCTTTCTCCAGAACAGCTCTGATTCTTCCAGTGCTAGGCACAGCAGGAAGTGAGATCCAGAAAAGGAAGAAGGCACACTTCTGTTTTCTTAGGGACACTGAGCGTTTGTGGGTTAGGGGGTACAGCTGAAGCCTGACCTGCATCTTCCATCCTGGGATGGAGGCTGTTGGGCAGATTTTCACTGCGAGGAATGGTAGATGCCTCATCCACCAAGCCTCCCTGCCTCCCCACCCCGCTGCCAGGGCTTAGCTGTGTTTCCCGGGATGCCAGGCGCAGTACTGTGTGAGTACTGGAGATGTACTGCTCTCATCCATCCCCTAGGCAGTGATGAGCATTGAACATCGTCTGGGTTTGGTAGGTTCAAATTCTCCTAGGCAAGTGACTTAACTACCCTCAGTCTTCATTTCCTCATCTTGGAAATGGACGCAAATCTAGACCCTCACTTCACAAACATGGGGGAGCATGGATATAGTTCTAACACAACACTGTTCAGAACAGAGTTGTTATCCCCAAAAGTCAGTCATGGTTAAAAAAAATATTTTTAGAGGGAGTTTCTCAGGGAGTGTTCAGGATCCTGGGGACCACTGCTGGCAACAGTTGGCCAACAAGGCTGGAGCAGTTCAGTACTGGGACCATTCAGAGCCAGATTCAAAAAAAATTTTTTAGGGGACCGACCGGAGTGATAGAACATATAGGGCACTTGTCTTGCATAGGGCCAACCTAGGTTTGATGCCCACATGCCATATGGTTCCCTGGGTACCATCAGAGTGATTCTTGAGTGCAGAACCAAGAGAAATCCTTGAGCATCACTGGGTGTGGTCCCAAAATCAAAATTAAAAAAGAGAGAGAGAGAGAGAAAGAGAGAGAAGGAAAGAAAAGAAGGAAGGAGGAAGAAAGAAAAAAAAAGGAAGGGTGGGGTTTGAGCAATAGTAGACTGGGTAGGGTGTTTGCTTTGCACAAGGTAGACCCAGGTTTGATCTCTGGAATACCATATGATCGCCTGAGCACCACCAGGAGTTATCCCTGAGCATCGCTGGGTGTGACCCCCAAAGCTGAAAAGCCAAAATAATATAGACAGAAAGAAAAAAAGAAAGGAGGGGAGGAAGTGAGAGAAAGAGAAAGAAAAAGAGCAAGGAGTTGGAGAGATAGTATAGCAGGTAGGGTGTTTTGACCTAGTTGATTCAGGTTTGATTCTGGCATTCCATATAGTTCCCCTGAGTCCCACCAAGAATGATCCTTGAATGCAGAGCCAGGAGTAAGCCCTGAGCACCACCAGGTGTGCCCCCAAAAGAAGCCCAAAAGAAGAAGAGCAAGTGGAGCTGGGGCAATAGTTCAGTGGGGAGGGCGTTTGCTTTGTATTCGGCAGACATGGGTTTGACCCCTGGCATCCCATATGGTCTCCCAAGCACCACCAGGAGTGATTCCTGAGTGCAGAGCCAAGAGAAACCCCTGAGCATTGCTGGGTGTGACCCAAAAAGCAAAAAAAAAAAAAAAGAAGAGCAAGTAAGAGAGGAAAGAGAAAGAACAAGAAAAGAGAAAAAGAGGGAGAAAAAGGAAGAGAAAAAAGGAAAAAATGAAAGAGAAAAAGAAAGAACTAGAAGGGTCGGAGCGATAGTACTGTGGGTAGGGTGTTTGCCTTGCACACAGTCGACTCGGGTCTGATTCCCAGCATCCCATATGGTTCCCTGAGCACCGCCAGGAGTAATTCCTGAGTGCAGAGCCAGGAGTAACCCTGAGTATCGCTGTGACCCAAAAAGGAAAAAAAAAAAGAGCTATAGAGAAGGAAGGGAGGGATGACGGGTGGGAGGGAAGGGAGGAGAGCTATAGCCCGTCATCTGTGTCCCCTCATTGAACACTCCATTATGTCCATTTTACAATTCTCTCAATGAGACCCAGAGTCTTTCTTCCACCTGCCCAAGCATCTGGGATTTGAACCCAGAACCTCTGGCTTGATTCTTTGGCATCTCAAAGCACCAAGGCCGGGAATCTGGAGACAGGAGAGGGAACTGGTAGGTATGGACGAAAGGCCAGCTGAAGTTGAGGGGAGTAAAATCTGGGGTCTTACCTGCAGGGTGCAGTGGGTGAGAGGGTAGATGCCACTCAGGCCTGGGGTCCAAGCCACCTCCAGCTCGGTGGGCTGGCTGGAAACCACGTGGAGGTCTTGTGGCCGCTGGGGAAGCACTGTGAATAGGAGACAGTGGTGACCCTGGGGCCTCTGCCCTACCTCTGCCCTTGACCCTTCACCTATACCCTCTGACCCCTGTTCTCCACGCCTCTTTCCTGTCACCTGTGATGGTGGCTGTGCGCGATGTGGTGACACCCTTGGCATTATGGGCTTCGCAGGAGAATGAAGACGTCTTGTTCAAACCTGGGGAGTCACACGAAGGGGTCAGAGGGGGTCAGGGGGCCCTGAGCTGGAACTGCCTGATGAGCAGCAAGGGGCCATATGATGGGAGGGCAAGGCGCTGGGAAGGTGGGCACAGTGTAACATGCTGACACACACATACAAACATATACACAAACATGCCTATTCACACAGAAGAGACACAAACACACTCTTGGAAAAACACAGAAACACTCCCAGACACATACTTCTATGTAAAAGTACCCCCCCATCCCCACCCACACCCCCACAAACTACCTGGACATACACAGAGACACACCCAGGGACTTGAGCAATAGTACAGTGGGGAGGACACTTGCCTTGCATGCAGCCAGCCTGGGTTTGATTCCAGGCACCCTGTATGGTCCCCAGATCAACAGTAGGAATGAGCACAGAGCCAGGAGTCAACCCTGAGCACTACCAGGTGTGGTTCCAAAACAAAACACAAAAGACACTCAGAACATCTGCAGAATTGCACACACACACACACACACACACACACACACACGCAAGGCACCACCAGTAAACTCACAACTCCAGTAAGAATCAAGCCCAGGAGGTTGGGGGGGTGAATTTCATGCCGAGTTTGCTCCATTGTCAGCCTGGCCCCTCCCAGCCTATCCCCTGCTGGCCGCCTCACTTTCCCATGTGCCTTCCCCCAGCCCTCATTCCAGCACCCTGGCCTCTGCATCTTGGGGTTTCTGGAATGCAAGCCTCCAGCACCCCCTTCCTAGGGGAGCCACTTTGCCCTCTGCTGCCTCTGCTGGAAGCATCTCCCGGTGTTGGACATCTGCCACCTCCACAGCCTCCACATGGGCTCTGGTCATTCTGTCCCTGAGACATCTGCCCCTCAGCCGTCACCCGTTACACAGTCTCCAGGCGTCCCGCTGTCAAGGCCACTGACAGGCGAGCGGCATGGGTGGCCGGGGCCAGCTTTCTGCCTGCTTTGGCCTTTGGCCTTGGCTCTCAGGGGAGCAGGACACACAGTAGGTGGTCTTACCTGGGCACAAGTGGATTCAATTGCAAACTTCAGGGTGTCTGTGTGAGCAGAAATGGGATTGTGTGAGGGCTGGCACAGCAGCTCCACAAGGGGAGTATGGGCAGTATAAACTTCATGGAGGAGGGCCAGGGTTAATCCCTGGTCCCATATGCTTGCTGGGTAACCGAGCCTGGAAGAGCAGTCCCTGAGTGCAACCTGATGTGTCCTGGGAAGAAGAAGGAGGAGGAGGAAGAAGAGGAGGAGGAGAAGGAGAAGGAGAAGGAGAAGAAGAAGGAGGAGGAGGAGGAGGAGGAGGAGGAGGAGAGGAGGAGGAGGAGGAGGTGGAGGACAACTGAGAGTTGAAAGTTGGTTAAGGGATATACATGATAACCTTTCGGTATCTGTATTGCAAACCATAATGCCCCAAAGGGAAGGGAGAGAGTGAGAGTGATCAAGAGTGAGACTGATTAAGTGAGAGTGTGAGTGATAGTGATCGAGTGAGAGCAAGAGGAAGCGAGATAGAGAGAGAAGAAAAGTGGGAGGGGGAACAGGAGGGAACCTGGGAACATTGGCAGTAGGAAATGTACACTGGCGAAGGGATTGATGTTGGAACATTGTATGACTGAAACCCAATCATGAACAACCTTGTAACTGGTGATTCAATTAAAAAAAAAAAGAAATGGAATATTGGGCTAGAATGATAGTACAATGGGGAGGGTGCTTGCCTTGCATGCTGCCAACCTGGTTTCTATCCCCAGCATCCCATATGCACCCCAAGCCACAGGAGTGATTCCTGAGCATCGCTGGGTGTGGCCCCCAAACAAAACAAAATAAATGGGATCTGATCACTGAGCTCTCTCACTGGCTTGTGTGAGCTGAATGGGTGCTTTGGAAGGTCTGGGCTGGGCTTCACCCCTTCCCGGCATTCCCCCCTCCCCAATGGGCTTCACCCCTTCCGGGCACTCCCCCCTCCTGGGGTGGCAGACACACTGACTCACACACAAAGGTAGAGACAAGCACGTGAGACAGGCACCCGGCCAGGCACACGCGGACCCAGGCGAGCTGGCCCACAGCGTGCCTGGCCCAGCCGCCTATGCGAGTTGATGCACTTCGGTGTGTGTCTGGGGACGCTGCTGGTTCCCGCCTCCCCGCCAGCACCGAGTTTCCTTTTTGGGGAGGCCGAGGGAGTGGACTGAGATGCAGGGCCAGCAGGAAGAGGGTGGGCAGGGCTGCGCTACTGCCAGGCCTCGCAGTGCTCAGCCAAGGTCAGGTGCCTGCGCAGCCCCCGTGGGCGGCCCAGGACAGGCGCGGGAGGCTCCAGCTGCACGTGGGGGGCGCGGGGAGACGCGGGGGGGGGGCGCGGAGGAGGAGCCTGGGAGGCGCGAGAAGCTGAGGATAGGGGTCTCCCAGGAAGGGCCATGGGGGCGCATTGAAAGAGCCTGGGGGGTGGCGCAGGACCCGCCGGTTACCCATGAGGAGCGCGGACTTTGGAGCCGGTCCGCTCCAACCGCAGCATTCCCGCCCCCGCGTGAGTCACCGCAGTCCCCTCCCCCGAGGGGCGACCCCACCCGGGGCCCTCTGGAGGCGGGCCATCTTGAGGGAGGGGGAGAGCGTAAGCCCCCCTTGCTTCCCGCAGACGCTCCCCCACGAGGCTGGAGCGCGCTCAGGCCAGATGTGCTTTCCAGATGTTCCGGGGCCTCCTGCCTGCGGCGCCCCCCTCCCTTCCTTTTTCCAGGGACTGAGCGGGACGGAGGGAGAGAGAGAGGCGCCGCCCTGACTCACACAGAAGCACAAACAGCCAAATTCCTGGACGTGGCCTCTTCCCCCTACCCCCCCCCCCCCCCACTGCGGGGGCGGGATGGGGGGGGCCGCTGACAAGCACAAACCCAAAAAGGCCTGCCCGGAGCCAGCACCCGCAGTCCTGACAGTCCTTAGGCGCCCTGTATCCACAGGGACACCCACATCCACACACCAAGGGCTGACAGGTGGCAGGAAAAGGCATCAGGCGCCCTGGCACGCACTCACACTCTCTCTCTCTCTCTCACACACACACACACACACACTTGCACACACACACATGCATGCACACTCTCATGAACACGCACACACACATTCACAGTCACACACACATTCACATACATTCACAAACTCACGTACATACACATATACAAATACACATTGGCACACACACACACACACTTGACACATTCAAACGTGCCAGTGCCAGCTGGACTAGTGGGCGGGCACTACCACCCCCTGCATCGCAAGCCACATGTCCGGAGTGACCAACACACCTGCAGGTAAGATCGGACCCACGGACAGCAGGAGAGAAGTCTGAGGCCGGCTTTTTGACCACACACTTGACCTAGCCTCTTCCGCTCCAGCCCAACTGGACACAGGTTGCCTTGCTCCCCCTCACTGCTGACCACGGGCCCCTGGGTCATCCTGCCAGATGCACACCCCCACCTCGTGCAGAATGGGGCACACACCTCAGGTTCTGGTGCAAAGAAGCAATGGGAGTCAACATCCCCAGGAAAATGCAGGCCCCCCCCACACCATACTGAGGGGGGATACAGACCCCCTCTACCCACATTTGCATATACACAGATACAAAAGTTCGTGTGAGGCTCACCATCCACATGTGGTTCCCATGATGCAAACCCAGGTTACTCGGGGGCTCACACATACAAATGGCCTTTGGGTACAATCTGACTTTGCCAGGGACCAGAGCCCCCATTAAGACACATTTCTGACCAGAAAAGCTGCTTCTTTGACAAGTAGCCAGGACTCCCCCCAACTGCTCCTCACACTGTCATACTGCCACTCCCCCCACGCATGCACACATAATGATCACATGCGCCTGTGCGCGCGCGCACACACACACACACAAGCACACACTTGGGGCCCTGAGTACATCCCCAATTCCAGATATACAAGGACATAAAAATAAAGACCCATGGGTTGGAGTGAAAGCACAGCAGATAGGGTACCTGCCTTGCATGTGCCCTACCAGGGTTAAATCTGTCCCATATGGTCCCCTGAACCCAGCCAGGAGTAATTCCTGAGTGCAGAGCCAGGAGTGACCCCTGAATATTAGTGGGTCTGACCACAAACTTACCAAAAAAAAAATGATCCAAGGGCCAGAGAGGCAGTGCAGGAGGGAGGGCTTTTGCCTGGCATGAGGCTGATCTGAATTTGAACCCCAGCATCCCATATGGTACCCCGAGTCCTGCCAGGAGTAATCCCTGAGTACAGAGCCAGAAGTGAGCCCTGAGCACTACTGGATGAGATCTCACCCCCACCCCTAAATAAATAAAAACAAAAGACCCAATGCACAACAACATACATGCCATACACACCAGTTGGACAGAACCCCGAGATGATACACATATATGACAACCATACACAGGAGGCCAGAGCGATAGTACAGCAGGTGGAGTGCTAGCCTTACGTGTGACCAACCTGGTTCGATCCCTAACATCCCATATGGTCCCTGAGCCTGCCAGGAAGTAATCTCTGAGCTCAGAGACAGGAGTAAGTCTAGCAACCAAAGCCTCCCAAACAAAAACAAACAACAAACCAGACAGTCTGGAACAAAGAGGGTCCTACTGTTCCCCACCACCACCACCCACACACAGCTCTAGAGGAACGTAGATACCTCCCGGACACCATGACCCACAGGAGTACGCTGTGGTGGGCATCACACTAGACCCTCTCACCCCTGAGTGCCCCCTTTCTCTTGCCCACATTGGGGGAGGGTGGACTTTCCCTTCGCCCTCCCTGACTCTGAATCCAGGGTCCTGGAGGCTGAGTCAGACTCGGCTTCTGGCCTGAGTCATCCCACCTCTGGGGGTGGGGGCTGCTCACCGCCACTTCCTTGCACACTCAGGGGCCCCGGAATGCTGGGAATGTGGGGCCCTTCCTCCCCCCCACTGCACCCTCTGTCCAGAGTCCCCTCCCTGGCCCAGCAGATGGACACAGCGGGTCAGGGACCAGCCTGCTCCCTCTGTCTCCCTGTCTGTTCCTCTTTCTCTCCTTCCTCAGCTCTGCCTTGGACCATGACGGGCCCCCAGATGGCCCCCATCTTTTCCCAAGGGGATTCTCCTCCTAAGGGGGTGACTGTCCTCCTGTCGCCCCCACTCTCCACCTGTTGAGACTGTGCTCTGTTCCCTCCAGGCTGTTCCCTTTCTGTCGCTGCCTTTCTTTTGGCCTTCTGCCTCCCCCCATTTCTCAGTCCCATCAGCCCCACCCGCAGTGGCACCCCTGAAGGGCGGGTCTGTTGTGGGGGGAGGTGGAAGGGCACACGAGTCCTGCGAGGTCAAGGGCAGACAAAGGGCGTGAGGCCCACTCACGCCTGAGCCATGGAACAGCTCACAGGAAACCGAGCACAAAGAATCCCTTTCAGAGATGCTAGTGAATGGAAGGAGTGAGAGGGACAGAGGGACGGGGACAGACACACAGAGAGACGCAGGACAAAGACACGGAGGGAGGGGCTAGGCAGAGGACAGGGTTAAGACCCTCGCCTCGCACACAGCTGGCCCTGATTTGATCTCTGGCACCACCTTTGGTACCCTGAGCCTCACAAGGAGCGATCCCTAAACACAGAGAGAGAAACAAGCACGGCTGGGTGTGCCTGCCCCCCAAACGCGAGCCAGAGAGGGACAAAGCCTGGGAACAAAGGTACAAGGACAGGGTAATGAACAAGCACAAAGTCTTCCCTGGCTGCCCACTGCTCCCCTGCCAGGGCCCTCAATACCAGACTGAACCGTCCATCCGCTTATCTAGCCCTTGTCTGCCTCCATCTGTCCATCCTGCGGGACTCACCAGGAAGATGCAGCGTGTACTGGGGGCCAGGCCCCGGTGCGGGGGGTAGGACTGTGGCGTCCTGGAACCAGCGGAGATCCACGGGCTCCGGGGGCCCCTGGGCCTGGCAGCTCAGATTGAAGGGGGTGTTGGCGACCACCGCCCTGTCCTCCGGCTCCTCCAGGAAGTAAGGCAGGCCTAGGGTGGGGAGGCAGTGACAGCGGCTGGGACCCTCTGAGTGCCCCCTGAAGTTGATGCAGGGTCCTCCCAGGGAACTCTCCAGGATTCTCCATCCCACAGCGGGGCCCCAGGCCAGGACAGACAGGGTTACGTGGTGCCTCTGAGGTCCAGAATGTTCCCTCTCAAGCACACCTGCCTTGGGACAACTGACAGACAGATCTCCCACCCCCAAGACACTCAGCTTCTCCAGCACATGAACCCCTGTCCCACCCCCTCCCAGTCATTTAGCAGCTCCTCGCTCCTGACCCCTGCCACCTCTGATATCCCTAAGCTGTCTTGGGGGGACACTCCCAATACCCCCAGCCCCGGGCTCACCCTCCAGCCCCACATAGCCAGGCTGGGACACAAACGTCTTCCCGCCGAGGACCACAGCGCACTGGTACCAGCCAGCATCCGAGATCTGCAACGAGGAGATTCTGGGGGGCCAGAGAGGGACAGAGTTTCAGTGGGTTATTGGAGCTGGGGGACAGCCACAGGAGACTTGTTGGTGAGAACCTGGGGATGTCGTAATGAACCTGACCTTGCGGGTCAGGGGAGAAAAGGGCAACCCAGGGGCATGGCAGATGCCCAGAGTGGTCACCATGTTCCCAGCCCAGCTTCCCAGCCAGGAAGGCTGTGACCCGGACACTATCCAGGGGTTGGGGGTCCCTAACAGGGCGGCTGGAGCAGGGGGGCTCGCACCGGAGCTGGCTGACCACCTTCCAGTCGTCCTGCCCGTCCTCGCCCAGTGGCACCTGCGTCTGGGTGCTGTCTGCCAGCTCCAGGACCTGGCCGTCCCGGAGCCATGTCACCTCTGGGGGCTCCTCCTGCACCTGGAGCTCACACCGAAGGGAGCCCATGAGGCCCCGGGCCCCTGTGACGTTCCCGGGGCTCCCCACAAAGGGGTTTCCTCCGGCCTGTGCACCTGCAGGGAGAAGGAGCTGTTAGCTCTGAGGCCCCCTCCCCTGGCCCGGAGCTCTGGAGTCCCTCAGCCCTGCCCGCCGGCACCCACAGCTATGACCTCAGTCAAATGTGGGCAGCTTTGGAAGGGCCCAGAATCCTCCTGGGGGACTGGGGCCGGAAGACTCCAGTCTTCATCTGTCTGTCCCTCTGGCTGTCCATTCCTACATCTATCTGTCTGCTCCTCCATCCATCCCTCTGTTTGTCTATCCCTCCATCCATTCATCCCTCCGTCCCTACATCTGTCCATACCTCTGTCTCTCCATACATCCATCTGTTTGTCCCTCTGTCCATCCATCCATCCATCCATCCATCCATCCATCCATCCAGTCTTCTGTCCCTCTATCTGCCCACCCTTCTGTCCCTCCCTCCTCCCTCCCTCCATCCTTCTGTTTCTCCATTTCTTTATCTGTCCGTCCCTCCTTCTCTCTGTCTTTCCAGCCGTTGGTTGGGAAGCAGGCCGGGATCTGGCCGCCTCCCACGCCCTGCACTGGCCCTGCTCCCTGGGCCTCCCTGAGGGTCTCCAGGGACTTCATACATCAGACTGGGGGACGGCGGGGAAGAAACTGGGGCACGGTGGGGGTGGGAGAAGCCAGCTGGGAAGGAGAGAGAAGTCAGAGAAAGTCAGTCCTGGGACGCAGAGACCCACCCGGAGTCAGAGAAAAGGAGAGCTGGGGATGGGAGGGAGAGAGAGACAGACAGACAGACACACACACAGAGAGAGAGAGAGAGAGAGAGAGAGAGAGAGAGAGAGAGAGAGAGAGACAAGGAGACAGAGAGAGACAGAGAGACAGAGTGAGAGACAGAGACACAGAGATGCACAGAGGGACACAGAGACAGGGAGAGAGACAGAGACACAGACACGGGGACAGAGAGAAAGGGGGAGATCTGCAGAGGAGGAAGCTGGAAGCAGCCGGGCTGGGTCCAGACAGGGACAGGCACTGGGGGGCAGGCAGGAGTGTGGGGGGGTACAGAGATCCAGCTTCCCTCCTTGAGCTCCAGTGAGGGGCCTCCTCTGGAGCTGAGGGTTCTTTCTAGAAGATTCTGATCTGGGAATCCCGCCTGCTCTGTGCCGGTTGAACTGAAGTCAGTGCCCACCCTGTCCTGTCCTGTCTGTCCAGCTATGTGTCTGTCCCACTCCTCCTGGTGCCTCTCTTTGCCGTCCTTCCTTTCCTGGCCCTCTGTTGATTTCATCAGTGTCCCACTTCTTCTCCCTTGTCCCCCCTAAGCGGAGCTCTAGAGGCACCCCCACACCTGCCATCCCTCCGCCCACACACCCCAGCCCCCCACCATCACTCACCCCAGGGGGTCGCACTCCCCCAGCAGCTCAGCGCCAAGCACCAGGCCAGCACGTCCCTGCCCATCCTCGGCACCGGTGGCCAATGCCAAACTTTCTGCCGAAGTTGCTGGGCAGCCCAAGGCGGGAGGGGGCAGGGCCGGGACAGCCCGGCCCTCCCCCCAGCTCTGGGCTCCGGGAACTGGCACTGCCTGCCGGGCACCGCGGGGTGGGGGGACTCACCCTCACCGGCTCTGCTCCCCGCTCCCGGCGCCCTAGTGCTCTGTTGCCCAGGCCCAGCTCGGGGCTTCACAACTTTCACCCCGCCCCTGCCTCTCCCCCACTCCACTCCTGCCTCCGCCCACCGGCCCGAGCCTAAGGGGCCACCTGGACTTGGAAGGGTTAACTGGGAGAGTTGAGGACCAGCCCCGTCTTAAAGGGGCCCTGGAGGGGAGGCAGCAGAGAGGGGGCAGGGGCTGCTGGTGGCAGCACCCCTAATTCAGAGGCTGTGTGCCTCTAGCCGGCTCTGGGCGCTGTCCCTCCAGGCTGTCTGGGTGTCTGGTAAACATTCCTCCCCAGCTCCGCTCCCCTTTCTGCCCAAGCAACCAACGCCCCCTTGCTGCCTCCACCCCCCAGCCCTGTTGGCCAGCCCCCGGCAGGCCTCATCCCTGGGCTCTCACTCCCCTTCAAGCTCACAGCCTCCTCGTGAACACAAAAGACACACAGACATACAGACATGCATGCTTGCGCGTGCACACACACAGACACAGACACAGACACACACACACACACATAGACACACACGCACACAGATACGCACAGAGACTGACACCCACACACACATAGACACACACACGCACACAGATACGCACAGAGACTGACACCCACACACACATAGACACACACACGCACACAGATACGCACAGAGACCCACACACAGACACACACGAGTAACACACAGACACACAAGCGCACAGATCCACACAGAGACCCACACATGCGCGCACACACACACACATGCACACACAGACACACACACATACACACACATGCACACACAGACACATAGACACATACACATACACACAAGCGCGCAGTGACTGGAGGCCGGACAGGCAGAGACATGCAGGCCCTACCATCCATGGACACTCTCAGACAAGCCGGGTCAGGAAGCCCATTCCAGGAGAAACCTCAGGAATGGGGGGACATTGCCTAGTGGTGGGCATCTCTGGGTAGTGCCCCAGGAAGTCTCAGACAAAAAGAACCACCATGGCAGGGGGGACCAGAAACTGCCCAGACCTATGTGGGACCCCACTCCACATAGGTGGGGCTCAGCCAGGGACCTTGCCTATAAGAGGGGACAGTCTCAGCAGGCCCTCTGGCCTGTGTCCAGTGGTTGACCTTGCAGGGCCTCTGTATCTTATTAGTTTGCTGGGCACTTCCTTTGCTTCTGGGGGTGGGGGACTGTGTTACCCTGAGAGCTCCTGAATCCACAGATACTGTGCATGGCTTCAGGGAAGGTTCTGTGCTTTGTAGGGGGGGGGAGGGGTGTCTCAGCTAGCAGTGTGGAGGAGTGGGGGGACTGTGGGGAGTGGGCTCAGGCTTGCTCTCTGCTCTTGATGGGTGTGATTGGGATCAGTGTCCTGTCCCCTTCTCAGCTTCCCCTGCCAGCTCCTCCCACCACCCATATGGGTCACCCCCCTCTGTGCCCTCCAGGACCCCTGCTTGGCGTCCTCCGTCCTCCACATCTGCACCCTCCCTCCTTCTTCTCTCCCTCTCCCCACCATCTTTCTTGCCCCAGCACAACCCTCCTCCTGGCTTGTCTCATGAGGGAACCCCGATTTCCTGCCCCCCTCCCCTTGTCTTTCTCTGTTCTTGGAGGCTTGAGCTCACCAGACCACTGTGTTGCTCTCACACTGGCTTGTGCTCGCCAGGGTTCACGTGCCTTGTCTTGGCATTCTTGGATGCTCCGGCACACCTTGTTGAAGCACAGAGTTGGGGTGCAGTTCCTGGGACTGCCTTGGGTACATGTGGGTGGCACCAGGGATTGAACTCAGGGCCTAGGACTTGGAAGGCACTTTATTTTTGTTTGTTTTATTCTTTTTGGTGGGGGCACACCTGGAGAAACTTGGGGTTTACTCCAGGCCCTGCACTCCTGGCAGTGCTTGGGAACCATATGGGGTGCCGGGGATTGAATCTGGGATGGCCATGTGCAAGGCAAGTGCCCTCCCTGCTGTACTATCACTCGGGCCATCTGATCTTTCTTCTGTGTATATCTGTGACCCCCCCCCATCACACACACACACACACACACACAGAGTGAAGTGAGGTCTCAGCCCCACCTGCCGTGTTATCAGCAGTTCTCTCCAAGGCAGGCGTTTTGAGAGCCACACTCCCGAGCAACTCTCATGGATCAGACAGGATTGTTCACGATCAACCCAGTGACCCCCAGCTCTGCGCCTCCTTAGGACGAGGTCTGTGTCCTGAGGTCAGTGTGTCCCCCGCCGCCTGCCCCTAAGCTTGATATGCTTAACATTCATTCCACACCTAAACTTGCTCTGTCTTTTCTTTCTCAGAACAACGGCCTTCGAGTGTATGTGTGTTGGTGCATGTGGCCCAATTTCCTTCTCTGTCCTGACAAGGTAACCTAGAGATACATACATACCACCATCTGGAGCTGTGACGGGGAATATCCAGTCCCTGAGTTGTGTAACGTCCACGAAGCCCTGAAGCCCCAGTGCATGCTGGGACAGACATAGATGCATCTCATTGCCTGCCACACTGGGGGTGGGGAGGAACATTCTCACTGTATGGCAGAAAATGTACCTTGGCACAAAAAAGTTTCCCTACTCTTGATCTAGGTCTACAGAGATACTGATTTCATGTTCTTTGGAGATCTTTCCCAGAGTGAGTTGGCTGGGTCATATGCTACCTTTATTTTGTCGTTGTTTTATGTTTTGTGGCCACACCCAGCAGCACAGGGCTTACTACGACTCACTCCTGTGGGGGTTCAGGGGACTCTATGTGGTTTAGAGATTGAATTCAGGTCAGCCTCTTGCAAGGCAAGGCCCTATCCACTGCACTATCGCTCTGGCCCTATTAAAAAAAAGTTTATTTTTAATTTGGGACTCCAAGCCAGGCTGTTTTCATTCAGGGCACCCCAAAGTGGGGTGGGTGAGAGCCCTCCCCACCCCAAGGGACCCAGCCCTGGCAGCTAACCAACCGCCGCCACATTCCAGCCTGCTTTCCGGACACATTATAGGACATCTTCTACCCATTTTCCATAATTGCCACACCATATTTGATGGGGTTCAGACAATAGGCAACAAATCATAGAGAGAAATATATAAATATATGCCTCTCGGGGAACCCGGCAAGCTACCTAAAGTATCCCACCCACACAGGCAGAGCCTGGCAAGCTCCCCATGGCGTATTCGATATGCCAAAACCAGTAATGACAACAGGTCTCATTCCCCTGACCCTGAAAAAGCCTCCAATCATTGGGAAAAGATGAGTAAGAAGAGGCTGTTAAAATCTCAGGGCTGGGAGGAATAGAGACATTACTGGCTCCCGCTTGAGTAAATCGACGAACAACGGGATAACAGTGATATAGTGATTTTTTTTTTTTTTGGTTTTTGGGTCACACCCGGCGATGCTCAGGGGTTACTCCTGGCTCATGCACTCAGGAATTGCTCCTGGCGGTGCTCGGGGGACCATATGGGGTGCTGGGAATCGAACCTGTGTCGGTCATGTTGGCTGCGTGCAAGGCAAACACCCTACCCGCTATGCTATCGGTCCAGCCCCGATATAGTGATTTTTAATTTGAGGACCTTCAGACTGTCTTCCAAGAAAGACCTCAATAATTTAAATTCCCACTAACAGTGCCCAAGCAGTACAGGTATGGGCAATGGGGCATTTGACTTGATTTTGTTGCAGGTGGTTCAGTAAAGTGGGGAGCAAGGGAGACTGACTTGAGAAAAGAGTGTTTCCACTCTTTTGCTTGACCCACTTCAGCACCAGTGCTCAGGGGAAATGCCCAGCCTAGATAAGGTCAGTCTCAACCTTGGCACAGTCATTATGGGTCCGTCGCCTTTCCCTCATAGGAAAGAATTTCAGGTTGGAGCATAGTACAGTGGGGAGGGCATTTACCTTGAATGCAGCTGACCCAGATTCAATCTCTGGCTTTCCCATATAGTCCCCTGAGCACTGTCAGGAGTGATTCCTGAGTGCAGAGTCAGGAGTAACCCCTGAGCATGGCCAGGTGTGACCCAAAAATCAACAACAGCAACAAAAAAATAACAAAGAAATAAAGAGAAAAGAATTTCAGGAGGAGGTGAAATGGTGAAGCAAGAAAGTTTTTATTGAAACATATTTAGAAAGATGTGAGGGAGAGAAAGAAGTGAGTGTTCATGAGAGAACATAGGCTTCTCCAGGGTGGAAATGGGCAAGCAAAGATACATGGGGTGGAGCTGGAGCGATAGCACAGTGGGTAGGGCGTTTGCCTTGCACGAGGCTAACACGGGTTCAATTCCCAGCATCCCATATGGTTCCCCAGCACCGCCAGGAGTAATTCCTGAGTGCAGAACCAGGAGTAACCCCTGAGCATCGCTGGACATCTTCTACCCATTTTCCGTAATTGCCACACCATATCTGATGGGGTTCAGACAATAGGCAACACATCATAGAGACCCAAAACACACACACACACACACAAAGATACATGGAGATAAGCAAGTTACAGTTTCAAGGGAGAACACGGACTTGAAGAACACAAACGGCCTTTGGAAGCAGTTATATATATATATTTTTTTCATTTATTGGCTTTTTGGGTCACATCCAGCGATACTCAGAGGTCATTCCTGACTCTGCATTCAGAAATTACTTGTGGCAATGCTCAGGGGACCAACCTGGGTTGGCTGCATGCAAGGCAAGCGCTTTCCCCGCTGTACTGTATATATCACTTGGGCCTATGCTTATTTATTTATTTATTAAAGGTAAAAGGTAAAGGCCCTCCCGTCGTTCATCGATTTGCTCGAGTGGGCCCAGTAATGTCTCATTGGAGACTTTGTTGTTACTGTGTTTGGCATACCGAATACGGGAGCTTGCCAGGCTCTGCTGTGCGGGCGAGATCCTCTCGGTAGCTTGCCGGGCTCTCCGAGAGGGACGGAGGAATCGAACTCGGGTCGGCCATGTTGGCTGCGTGCAAGGCAAACGCCCTACTGCTGTGCTATCAAAACATTTTATAGTCTTTAATAAAGCACAAGAAACATTTAACATATCTCTCCACAAACTTTTGGTGAGATCCAGACAGCAATATGTCATTGACAATTTTTTTTTTCTTTTTGGGTCATACTCAGAGATGCATAGGGATTACTCCTGGCTCTGCACTCAGGAATTGCTCCCTGCGGTGCTCGGGGGACCATCTGGGATGCCGGGAATTGAACTCTGGTCGGCCACGTACAAGGCAAAAGCTCTACCCGCTGTAGTACTGCTCTGGCCCCTCAGTGACAAATATTTTGTCTTTTTGTTTTTGGATCACACCTAACCGTGTTCAGGAGTTACTCCTGGCTCTGTGCTCAGGGAGCATTCCTGATGGGGCTCAGGGGATTCTATGAGGTATTGGGAATTCAGCCAGTGTCAGCAGTGTGAAGGCACGCACCTTAACTGCTATACTACCTCTCTAGCCCCTTAATTCTGAAATCTTTGGAGTTCAGTAAGTTTATATTAATCTACTTTGCATTCATATTTTGTTTCTGAACTCATCATAAATCTTCTCAACTTGCTTTTTTTTTGGGGGGGGAGGGAGTCTGGGAACTACATAGGCGGTGCTCTGGGAACCAAGTGGTACTGGAGATTGAACCAGGGTCAAGCACATTCGAGATAAGCACCTTAATGCATGTGCTCTCTCTGGGTGGTTTTTCTCAGTGTTTATGTCAACGCAGGACAATGATCCCCCTTCCTTAAATAGATGAGCGTGTTGGTTTTCCAGATTCCAACTTCCCTGAGTCACATTTTGCAGAGGAAAGCAAGTCTAGAAGGAGGAACTGGGGGTGCCGTTCTCAAGCAGACACTTTTTTTTTCTTTTTTGGGTCACCCGGTGATGCTCAGGGGTTACTCCTGGCTCTGCACTGAAGAATGACACATGGCGGTGCTTGGGGGAACCCTATGATTGCTGGGGATCGAACCCAGGTCAGCTGTGAGCAAAGTGGATGCCTTACCCATTGTACTATTGCTCCGGACTCCTGAGTAGATACTTTACAGTACTGAACTTGGGAGCTAACTCTGTATCTTCCCGGTAACCCCCAGCCTCCATGGTGCTTTTCAGATCCTACCATCATGAAACAAAAGTAGCGTGCCTGAGTGATGGGATAGCAGGTAGGGCACTCGCCTTGCATGTGGCCAGTCAGGGTTCAATCCCCAGCACTCCACAGGGGAACCCCGCCAGCAGTAATTCCTGAGTGCCAAGCCATGAGTAAGGCTTGAGCACAGTTGCCTGTGGCCCCCAAACAAGCAAAAAGTAACAAAACAAAACCCAAGAATGTAGCATCTAGTTTATTCCTAAATGTTCCAGAACTTTCCATTTATTTATTTTTTTCTTTCAAACATTTTATATCCTTTCAGTTAAGGTGCCATGGGCTGAAAAGTGACGACGTGAGGATCTGGTCTCAATTCCAGCTTCCTGTTCCCTCCTCTACCGTGGTAACACCACGGAATCTACTAAGTAAGGAGACTGTGGCGAATGATCAATGTGCGCTGGAGCCTGAGGAATCTGCCATACTTCGGACTGGACTTCGAGAGGGGCTGGAGCAATAGCACAGCAGGGAGCGTGTTTGTCTTGTACGTGGCCAACCCGGGTTCAATTCCCGGCATCCCATAAGGTCCCCTGTGAGTACTGACAGAAGTAATTCCTGAGTGTAGAGCCAGGAGTAACCCCTGAGCATCGCCAGATGTGACCCCAAAAGTCTAAATAAATAAATATAAATAAAGGCCTGAGAGAATACTGTATGGGGGAGGGGAGGGGAGGCAGCTGGCAAAAGCTTTGAGAAGCACCTCGGTGAATGGGACCCCTAGCTTCACCCCTGGGATTGTCCCACATGGCGAATGCTATTCAGATGACACTGTCCTTTTGGTATTCTGGTGGGCACCGTGTTTAAGTATGTGACCCTGGGTGAGAATCTCAACCTCTAGGTGCCTTGAGTAGGGCCAACAGGACAACCAAAGGGACCAATTGGGTAGGACATTTATTTTTGTGGGTGGGGGGACATGCAGTGATGCTCAGGACTCATTCCTTGCTCTACATTCAGGGATCACTCCTAGAGGGGCTTGTGGGACCCTATGGGATGCTGGGGATCCAACCTGAGTGAGCTGCGTGCAAGGCAAATGTTTCCCCTCTATATAATCTCTCTAATTCCTTGAGGAGGGAAAGGACAATTCTAAACAAATACCCAGGGCAGGCTGGACAGGTGGAGAGCAGTGTGGCAGAGCAGGTGGGAGGTGTGCAAGGAGGCCCCCTCAATAGTCTCAACTCCGCGGGGGGGGGGAGCTTGCTAATGCTCTAAGAACCCACTGGTGGGATGGGGTGGATGGAAGATGCTTTGCTCTCAGAAATGTGTCTTCAATTATCTTCCGGGATTTGCCTTAAGATACTTTTAAGAAGTTGAAAAAAGAAGCGTAAAGTCCAAGGTCACCAAATGAGGCGCGAGGTGGGGGGGAGATCCCGGAGTTTTTCCCAGGGTCTGATAAATCTTTCCTCTGTGCTTCAGTATAGGAGCGCCCCTGGTTTCCCCAGGAAGAGGAGGCTGGAGGGGAAGGGCAGAGGAAGAGGTCAGGGCCGGACGGGGGTCTAAGTTCCAGCCTCTGCTGGCCGGGTTCAGAGTTCCCTGCACCCTTGGACTTTTCCTGGCTGGGCGCCTGGCCCTGCCCCTCACCTTCTCCCCCTCCCCCTCCCCCTCCCAAGGCCCCACCGGAAGTGAGCCCAGCACTGCGCCCCTCCCCGTGTCCCACATCTGGAGCTGATGTCAGCAGCAGGGTGTGTGGGGGGGAGATGTTTTTCTGCTCCCGCCCAGCCTCGAGGGAGGGGTGGACCCCCCATCCCCACCCCTTACTCACAATGACAGACCCTGTCATCACTAGGACCTGCCTCTTGCTAGATCGGGAGCCAGAAACCAACTTTTATTGCAAAATGGGGACCTTCCAGTTCCCAGGATGGATGTCACACTTGGCCTGGTCCCCTGGTGCAGGGAGTCTGTGTCCCCCTCCCTCCCTGAGGTCTAGCTAACAGGGGCACGACCACAGAGGAGGGTGGTCCGTGTATGTGGGGGGCTGGTGAGGCTCTCCACAGGGCTACAGAAGCAGTGGATCGGGGGGCTGTGGCTGGAGCATCCTTGTCACAGAGCTCCCACTGTTGCGTGCTGGGTTTGGGCGAGCTGGGGATCAGGGTGACTGCTCCAGGATGTCTGAGGACTGGGGGGAGTGGGGGCAGGGACAGCAGCATGGGTGTCCAAGCGTCCATGGGGACAGAGACAGGCATGTGTTGGGGAACAGTGCAGCCAGAGATGGGGAGGGGACGTGTCCTCTGTACTCCACTCTGACTAGGATATCGCTCATCTTTGCAGTCAGAAGGAAACAAAAAAGGGACGTGGCTGACTGGGTTCGATCCCCGGCATCCCATATGGTTCCGAGCACTGCCAGGAGTAATTTTGTAAGGACAGAACCAGAAATAACCCCTGAGCACTGCGGGGTGTGGCGCGCATACACACACACACACAACAAAAAAGGAAAAAAGAAGGAGGGAACATGGGAGACTGTGTGAGCAGCAGACTGTGTGGGCTGGCAGTCAGGGCACTTGGGGTTGGGAAGCTGGTGGCCCTTTGGATCATGTCTCGGGGTACAGACTTGTCTGGATCACTGTGTAGACCCGTGGGCACATGTGCCCTGTGGCATCTGGGTCTAGTATCCAACCACGTGCCTTCTTCTAGAAAATAGCTCTGGGGGTATGAATTGGCTGCCGGCAGTGTAGACTCCAGGGGTGTGAATATGGCAGCCGGCCAGCAGTATAGACTAGTGTGAATGTAGCTGTCAGTAGTGTAGATTCTGGGGGTTGAATGTGGCAGCCAGCAGTGTAGACTGGGGATGTGAATGTGGCAGCCGGCAGTGTGGATTCTGAGGAGTATGAATCTGTCTGCCGGCAGTGTAGACTCCAGGGATATGAGTGTGGCTGTCAGCAGTGTGGACTCGTGGCTCCAGACACTCTCAACTCCATGTCAGAGGTTAAGGCTCCCTCACAGGGCGCATGGTGGGGACTGGGGTCAGGGGAAGTCAGCGGGGCCGGACTTGCAGCTGGAAGGCTGGGGGAACGTTGAAAAGGCCGCTGACGGCTGGCTGGAGGCTGAGGGCGCAGGGCGGGAACGGGCTGTCCAGTGAGAAGGTCTGCAGCACGGCTGTGACCAGGAGGAAGAGCTGGGCTCGGGCCAAGCCCTCCCCAAGGCAGGCACGCTTTCCTGGAGGGAAGAGGGGTCGCGAGTCACTCTGGGGCTCAGGGGGACTCCCGGGCAGGCCAGGATTGGCTCCCCAGGCACAGATCCCCAGGGGGACAAATGGGCTTGGGGCCCAGGAGATACCGAGGGAGAAGGGCAGGAAGGCCTCCTGCTTCTGGAACTTTCCGTCCGCATCCAGGAAGCGGTCAGGGTTGAACTTCTCGGGCTGCTCAAAGGCCTTGGGGTCATGCAGGACAGAGCCAAGCAGGGGGAAGACCTCGGTGCCCTGGGGGAAAATCAGAGTGAACCCACAAACCCTTCCCCTCCAGGCCGCTGTCCCCAACCAGGGGTCCGGAGGGGGACACGCCAGCCTCCCAGACTTGCACATGTCGTGTGCTAGGCGTACGTTCCTAGTCAGAGGCTTTGTGAAACTAAACATCCATGACCTCAGAGACGGAGTCTGTCACCACACCCCCACACACCACTCATTTTTATTTTTATTTTGACTTTTGGGGCTACACCCAGCAGTGCTTAGGGCCCACTCTTGGCTCTGCGCTCGGGGAATGCTCTGGGATGGGGGACTTGGGGACCCTCTGGGATGCTGGGGATCACACCCAGGTCAGTGGCCTGCAAGGCCAGCGCCCTGCTCATTACACTGCCTCTCTGGTCCCCATCCCCACAGTCACTGACTCTTTTCCCCAAGCCTAGGATGTGGGCAGTGTCATGACCTCATTTTATTTTTTTAAAATTTTATTATTATTATTATTATTTTGCTTTTTGGGTCACACCCAGTGATGCTCAGGGGTTTCTCCTAGCTGTGCACTCAGGAATTACTCCTGGCGGTGCTCAGGGGACCATATGGGATGCTGGGATTCGAACTTGAGTCTGCTGCGTGCAAGGCAAACACCCTATCCGCTGTGCTATTCGCTCCAGCCCCATGACCCCATTTTAAAGGTGGAAAAACAGAGGGCCAAAGAACTTAAAGCAACTTTCCCATTTTTTTAATATGGTAGGACTGATTATTTTTACCTTTTGTATTTAGGCTGGGGGGGGGGGGGTAGATGTGATACAGAGCGTCTCCCACCCACCCCACCCCAACAAGCTCTGAGTAGTTTTTAGCCCCTTGGGTCATTCTGGACACGGGGGAGGGATGCCCAGTTGTTTGGAGAGAGGCAGCACCTTCAGGAGATCAAAGCAACAACGTTCCTTGGACAGAGGGGCCAAGGGGGAGGGAGAGGGAGGGGCAACTCCCTCCTGGGCTGAGCTGGGACGGGGGAGAGGCTCCAGGAAAACAGCAGGGTCCTAGTAGAGCTGTATTCAAATAGAGAAAAGACAGAGAAGAGAGGCTCAAGGATAGGGTCTGGGTTCAAATCCCCTCTCCATGGCTTGTAGGCTGTGTGACCTCCGCAAATCCTGCAACCTTCAAGGGACCTCTGGTTTTCAGGGAAACATCGCCCCCTGGTGGTGCTGGGTCTGAGTTTCTTGGGAACGAAGGGGCAGAAGGGGTGAGTGAGTGTGTGTGTGTGTGTGTGTGTGTGTGTGTGCGCGCGCGCGTGCGCGCGTGTGTGTCTGTGCGTGCCTGTGTGTGTGTTTCTGTTTACAGCAGGGGCTGAGGCCCCTGTCATCCTTTAGTTCTCAGATTGCTTATGTGTATGTCTCTGTGTGTGTGTCAGACAAACTGTTTACAGCACGCGCTGAGACTCCTGTCATCCTTCAGTTCTCAGATTGCTCTGTCATCTCACTGACAGTGTCTGTTATCACACTCTCTCCCCACTTGCTGGCTTGGAAAGAGGTGGAACTGGGCTGGGGTGGCAGAACGGAATGGGGACACTGGGTCCCAGACAGAGTCAAAGGGTATGAGAAACAACACAGGAAGAAACAGAAACATAGAGACGCTCAGTGGGCTGAGTGGGTATGGGCTTTGCATGCAGAAGACATGGGTTTCATCCTACTACTGCATGAATCCCTGAGAACCCCAGGGAGCAGTGTTGGAGGTGCAGTGAGCCAGAGTAGACCCTGAACATCACTGGGTAGTGTGGCCCCCAAAACATTAATAGCGATACATTTTTCAAAAAAGAGGCAGAGGTATAAGAGAGGAGAAAGATTCCCTAAAAAGACAGAGAGGGCAGGCCAAAGAGATGGCTCAGTGGGCAGAGCACAGGCTTTCTTCTGAGGAAAGGTGCTTTCAATCCCTGGTCCTGGGGCACCATCAGAAGCAACTCCTGGGTACCAACCCCCAGGACTTCAGCTCCAGAACCCTGCTGGATGTGGCCCCCAAATAAAAACAAATACCAAACAACAAATAAGAGACAGAAGCAAAGAAAGACCAAGATCCAGAAGCAGCCAGCAAGCCGGGTTCCAGATGGAGCCTCACGGCATGGGGCCTGGTTCCATGTGCGCCTACCTGGGGCAAGGTGTATCCGCGGAAGCTGGTGGTCCTGGTGAGGGCCCGGGGTATTCCCATAGGCACCAGAGCCAGTAGCCTCTGTGCTTCATGCAGAACCGCGTCCGTGTAAGGAAGGCGACCTCGGTCCCCCAGGCTGGGTAGCTGACCGGTCCCCAATTCCCGAGCCAGCTCCTCCTGCACGCGCTCTGTACCAACAAGAGCAGAGAGGCGGCTAGAGGGGCTGTGGAGACCGGAAGGCACCTGCACAGCAGGGGGAGTGGGGCTGTCACCCCCATGACCCTGATGGGAAACTGAGTCTTGGAAAGACGAGGTGACAGCTCTGTTCACCATGGCCAGCAGAGCCCCAGCCCATGCCCTGGGCCTGGCAGCATGGGATCCCCCCCTACCCCGTCACTCCCAGGGCGGGTTCCCCCCCAGGAATGCCTCTCCTTCCCGCTACAGCTTCTGTTCCTGCCCCAGTCCCCTGCATCCACCTCCGTGTCTTTCTTAGTCTTGCCTGGTTTCTCCTGTCCCATGATGTCTTGACTCTGAGGGTTCTTGCAGTTCCTCTTCCCCAGCTAGTCTCAGTGCCCCTTCAAAGCTGGCGCTTACCCTACCTGGTCCCATGGCAGCCCTGTCCTTAATGTAGATTCCTGCCTACCCTGTCCACAGCTGACCCCTCAAGTGGGCCCAACCTTGTTTTCTTCTGCCCAGTACCCTTTGGTTCCTGGCACTCCTGGACACCCTTTGGAACCAGCCTCTTCAAGGCAGTCCAAAGGAATCTTCCAAATTTTTATTTGGAGCCACACCTGGTGGTGCTCAGGGGTTGTTCCTAACTCATTGCTTGGGGGAACAGGTGCTGTCAGGGAGAAACTTTAAAAAATTTTTTTGGTTTTGTTTTTTGGGTCACACCTAGTGATGCTCAGGGGTTATTCCTTGTTCTGCCTCCTGGGGGTGCTTGGGAGACCAAAGGAGATGCAGAGGTGGGGGGTGGGGTGGGGGAGTCAAACCCAGGTCGGCCGCATGCAAGGCAAACGCTCTATCCGCTGTGCTATCGCTCTGGCCCCGTCGTGCCAGGGAGGAACTTTTAAGTTTCTCTCTTTCTCTTTTGGTTTTTGGGCTATACCTGATGACACTCAGGTCACTCCCAGCTCAGCACGCAGGGGTTACTTCTGGTAGTGCTCGGGGGACCATATAAGATGCTGGGGATTGAACTCATGGGACTACCCCATGCCCTTGCTAGGACCACCTGCTTCTTTTATTTATTTTATTCAAATTTTTTTGTTTGATTTTTTTGGGTCACACTTGGCTCATGCACTCAGGAATTACTCCTGGTGATGTTCAGGAGACCATATGGGATGCTGGGAATCGAACCCAGGTTGGCTGCATGCTACGCCCTACCTGCTGTGCTATCGCTCCAGCCCCTGTGACCATCTGCTTCTGCAGGTAAACCCTGCCCCAGGTAGCACACGTGGGGTAGCCACCAAGTACCCTCCCTGATGTGCTGTCTCTCTGGCCTCCAGGATCATTAAAAAAAAAAACTGGATTTTTTTTGGGGGGTCACACCCGGCGATGCTCAGGGGTTACTCCTGGCTCATGCACTCAGGAATCACTCCTGGCGGTGCTCGGGGGACCATATGGGATGCTGGGAATCGAACCTGTATCGGCCATCTTGGCTGCGTGCAAGGCAAACGCCCTACCCGCTGTGCTATCGCTCCAGCCCCAAAAACTGGATTATTTTTCGGCCACATCAGGTTGTTGCTCAGGGGTTGGTGCTTAGGAGTGGCGGTGCTCAAAGGGCCCTGTTGGGTGCTGGGAATTCGAACCAGGGTTTTGGCCGACCCAGCCACATGCAAGGCAAGTGCCTAACTCTGCTCATGTACACTCTCTCTCCAACCCAGGGTATTGGGGATCAAACCCTGGCCTCTTGACAGCCTGCACTCAGCCCCAGGAACTATCTCACTGGTCCTCCAGGGAATCTTCTAGAAAGCAAATCTGCCCCTGCCCTCTGCTGCTCGGTCACCTTCCATGGCTGCCACATGTGCCGCTGAGGCAGGCCACGGGACTCTGGGAGGCTGTCCTCCCTGGGCTCACCATGCCTCACGCTGTGCCATACCCCACTAGGCCCTTCGCCCTGCCCCTGGAAGCTGGTCTCCTTTCTGCTGTTCACGCTGAGCGCCCCCTGCTCCCACAATGTGCTTCAGGCCCGGGGGCTGTAGGGTCCTACCGTACACCTGGGGGTACTTTAGCAGCAGCAGGAGGACGAAGCGAGCAGTGGTGCTGACGGTCATTGTCCCTGCGAACAGCAGGTAGATGATGGTCATCAGCATGTTCTCAGTGGTGAGCTCTGTCACAGGGTCTCCCCCCTCCTGCGAGAGATCAGGCCAGGGGCTCAGGAACTGGCGCAGCCCAGAGGAGGGGAAGGAAGCAAGGAGGGCAGCAAGAAAGAGCTTTGTGGGGAAGCTTATTTGCTTTTTTTTTTTTTTGCTTTTTTGGGTCACACCCGGGGATGCACAGGGGTTACTCCTGGTTCATGCACTCAGGAATTACTCCTGGCGGTGCTGGGAATCGAACCTGGGTCAGCTGTGTGCAAGGCAAATGCCCTACCTGCTGTGCTATCGCTCCTTCCCCACTGATTTACATTTTTTTTTTCTTTTTGGGTATTGATGCTCCAGGGTTACTCCTGGCTCTGCACTCAGGAATCACTCCTGGTGGGCTCGGGGGACCACATTGGATACTAGAGTTTGGAACCAAGTCAGTCTGGTGTAAGGGAAGCACTTTGCCCACTGTCGTATCTCTCCAGCACCTCATGACTTACTCATGCTCTGAGCTCAGTCGTGTGCATGTAAGTGCACTATGCACTGCACTCTGGCTCGGGCCTTACTGTTATTACTGTTATTTTTATCTGTTTGTTTCCTTAATTTTGAGAGAGGTTTAGGTCATAACTGGCAATGCATAGGGGTCACTCCTGGTGGTGTTTGGGGGCCATGTGCAGCACCAGTGATCGAACTAGGGTTGGCAGCATGGCAGGCACTGGAGCCCCTGGACTAGCTCTTGTTCCCCTCCTCCCCCCATGAATGTTTGGGAAAGCTGGTAAGCTCTTGATATTAAGTTCTTTTACTGAAATAAGGTTTTGTTTCCCATGTTATTGGAGGGCGGGGAGTTGCTGGAACACACTCAGTTACAAGCTCAGGGGATCGTGCATTCCCAGGGACTAAACCCGGATCAGTCACATTCAAGGCAAGAGCCATAATCTGTCCTGTCTCCCTGGCCCCTGATAAAATGAGATTTCATTTGTTTTTTGGGCCCACACTAGTTGTACTCAGGGATCACTCCTGGCACAGGGCTTGAAGACCATATGGGATGCCGGGGATGGAACCCAGGCTAGACATGTACAAGTCAAGCACCCTCCCTACTGTACTACCACTCCAGCCCTGTTGTAATCAATAAAGAGTATTGTTTTTTCTTTTTTTGGGTAACATCGGGCAATACTCAGGGGTTACTCCTGGCTCTGCACTCGAATTACTTCTGGCGGTGCTCGGGGGACCCTATGGGATGCTGGGGATCAAACCGGGTCAGTTGTGTGCAAGACAAATGCCCTACCTGCTGTACTATCACTCCAACTCCAATAAAGTGGGTTTTAATAGTTGAGTAAGTGTGCCAGGACTTAGAATGAAATGATTGTAATTCATCAGCAATGTCCTGGGGGGTGGTGGAGGAGGGACGAGGTGATGGGGGTTGTTGAGGACAGGACACTGGGGGTGTCACAGTTACACAGTGGCAGACAGGTAGTGGGTGGGACCATGGAGCAAGGGCCATGTGAGCAGAAGACACAGGTGTGGGCAGATGGGGAGTATGAGGAGCTGGGAATGGGGGAGGAGAGGCAGAGTCGATCGAGTTCATGATCCCCCCAAACCCCTCACCTGGGCCATCTTCCGCAGGAAGGCCTCCACCACGTCCCGTGCAGGGCCCGAGGGGTTGGGGTGGGCCTGGCACTGTTGCACCTGCCGGGTGGCGAAGCCTGCCAAGGTGCCCACATGGCTGAGCAACTGAGAGAGGCCACCGGCGCCTGGGAGCTTTTGCAGGAGGTGGGAGAACATCTCGTAGGTCTGCGGGGGAAGACACAGCGGCTGTCAGTGCAGTGCAGCTCTGCCCAGCCAGGTGAAGATTCGGGGCTACCTGGGAGTAGGTCTGGGGCAGGTGGTACTCAGAGAGGGAGTGTGACCCCCTTACCTGGCCCCACGGGGAGCAGATCTCCAGCAGGATGCCCTTGGCAGCCTGGACCGCGCCCTGAAACTCCTCATCCTCGTAGGGGAAGCGGCGGCCGAAGACGAGGGAACACGTCATGTTGGAGGTGGCCTGAGCCAGCAGCAGTGAGGGGTCAAACGGCTGTCCTGGGGGGGGGGGGGCGGCAGAAGGAGGCACATGAGGGACAGGGACAAAGAGACAGATTAGGGGCGACAGAATGGAGAGAGAGAGAGAGAGAGAGAGAGAGAGAGGAAGAAGTCGGGAGAAGTGGAGAGGGGAGAGGCAGAGGCAGAAAGAGCGAGTGGCCAGTTCCTGGGACTAGGGAGGTGTGGAGAAGGGAGGAGGGCCCCAGACCCTGTGTCCGGAGGTGCTGCATTGCTGACCTTGCGTGTCCCTGAGCGCTTCCAGCAGGTGGCCCACCTCGGCCTGAATCAGCACCTCTCCTTCACGCTTCCCCATGCCCAGGTCCCGCAGGCTGAGCGTCGTGAACCTCCGCAGCTGCTTCCAGCGCTCCCCGTTGGAGAAGAAAACCCCTGTACAGAAGGGGAGCTCACAGGGGGTGGGGCAGGGGAGGACGCCCAGGACCCGGTGGGCCCCGCCAGAGGCCAGAGCAGTCTGGTTCCCAACTCAACAAGCTTCCAACTGGGACCCACAGCCTGTGAGTGACCTGAAATTCTCCAGAAAACTGGGCGACTTGTGTTAGCTACTCTCCATTTTGTGATGAATGTGGGTAATATCCTTCCTTCTTTCCTTCCTTCTTCCCTCTCCCCTCCCTTCCTCCCTCCCTCCCTCCCTCCCTTCCTTCCTTCCTTCCTTCCTTCCTTCCTTCCTTCCTTTCTTCCTTCCTCCCTCCCTCCTCCCTGACTCCTTCGTTTCTTCCTTTTTTCCATCACTCCATCCATCCATCCATCCATCCATCCATCTATCCATCCATGCATCATCTTTTCATCATCTATTCCAACATTAATTTTTTTAATGTCTTTTCAGCCACACCGGCAGTGCTCAGGAATTACTCCTAGCACTACACTCAGGAATTATTCCTGGGAGGCACAGGGAGCCATATAGGATGCTGGGGATTGAAACTGGACCAGCTGTGTGCAAGACAAACACCCTACCCAATGTACTATTTCTCTAGGCCCCATACCACATTTATTAAGTAATTCTGGGTTCCATATCCCTCAGGGTTTGGAGGTTGAACAGGTAGAGAGGGACACAGAACTGCTTTTTTACTTTTTATTCTTTTACTTTTATTCTTTTTATTTATTTATTTATTTAGTCTTTTTGAGTCACACCTGGCCGGGCTCTTGAATTATTGCTGGCTCTGCACTCAGGACTCACTCAGGCGGTGTTTGGGGGATCATATGGGATGTCGGGGATTGAACCTGGGTTGGCTGCATGCAAGGCAAATGCCCTCCCTGCTGTACTATCTCTCCAACCCCAGCATTTTCCCTTTTTTCACCGCTCCCCCATAAAACCCCAAAGCAACCCCCCAAACAACCAACCCTGCCTCAGACAGAGCCTGCCCTTCCCTGAGCCCATATTGCCCTTGCAGAATGCAGGGCTGGAGGGTCATTTGGGTGTGCCCTATTCAACCCCGCGCATCCCGTCACAGCCCAGTATCCTCTATTCCCTGACAAGCCCTAGATAACATCTTATTACCACCCTGTCCTCATGCTAGGCCTCCTGCAGACCCCAGCCCAGATCTCCCCTGAGGCTCCCACACTGCAAATCGTCCTTTCTAACTGTGTACCCCTTCCCTGATTGAAATTTGCTGCTCCAGGGGCTCGGGCAATAGTACAGTGAGTAGGATATAGTTGACTTGGGTTTGATCCCTGGCATCCCATATGGTCCCCTGAGCCTGTCAGGAATAATTCCTGAGTACAGAGTCAGAAGTAACCCTTGAGCATTGCTGGGTGTGGTCACCAACATCCGCCCCTCCCCCCCAAAAAAGAAGACATCTACTGCTCCAGGTCAGGCATAATTCAAAGGAAGGAGTGCGGACTTTGCAGCGTTTGGTTCTGAGCACTGCCAGGAGCTACTTCTGAGTATAGAACTAGGATTAGCCCCTGAGCACCACTGGCTGTGACCCCTTTAACCCCAAACCAACAAAACACAAACCCTGGGTCTGGAGTGACAGTACAACAGGTAGGACGCTTGCCTTGTTCACAGGTAGCCGGACCCCTGAGCCCTGCCAGGAGTGATCCCTGAGTGCAGAGCCAGGAGTAAGTCCTGAGCACCACTGGGTTCAGTCAAAACAAAACAAACAAACAAACAAACAAACAAAAAAACCCCAGCAATGACTCACCTCTAAAACAAAACAAAATAAAACCAACAAAAACCCCAACAACAAATAAAACTGCTCCAGGAAAACCCAGAGTCCAAACACCAGCATGACTCAGGCTCTGCGTGACCACGAGGGAGATTTCCTGAGTTCTGTTACTCACTGTTCTATCTCCCTGGCCTCCTCTCACTTCCTCAAAGGATTTAGGATTCCCTCCACCCTACCCCCTTCATCCCCTGCTGTTCACTCACCATTTTTTTTTTTGAGGGGGACCACATTCAGTAATGTGCAGGTGTTACTCTTGGCTCTGTACTCAGGAATCACCCCTGAGGGTGCTTGGGGGACCATATGGGATGCTGGGGATCGAACCTGGGTGGCCACGTGCAAGCCAAGTGCCCTTCCTGTTGTACTATCACTCCAGACTTCTCCCCCACTCAGGTTTTCATCCTTGCTCAACCTTTGGGTTGCAGCTCAAATGGCACCTCCTCTTAGAAAACACCTCTGATTGCCCCCAAATCTCTCCTTTCCTCCTGCCTGAGGCTGATGTCCAGGTCCACAGGTCCTACTCTCAGTTCTGGGTCGCCCCTCACTTTGGAATCAACTCTCCTCCGGTAAGTCAGGACAACACTGCTGGTAGGTCACCTGCACCTCCTAGTCCAGACCCGACATCATGAAAAGCTGTAAAGGTGTTTGTGGAACCAATGAAGGCTTCTTGTGCCTCTGTGCATGTGCTGATTTCTGCTGGAGCACCCCAAGTCCAGGTACACCAACTTTCCTCCTGGGCTGAGTTAGGTGCTTGCAGTCCCCAGGCCACCCTTTCCTTGGGTTCCCCAGCTGGTGCTGGCCTGGGGGGGTGGGGCTCCAAGGGAGCAGAGGGAATAGGGGGATCTGCAGAAAGACCGCCTGTCCTTTGGGGCATGAGCCCTAATAGGAAGTCCCCGGGAACTCACCATGGCCCTGGAAGGTTCCGTCCAGCGTTGTCAGCCTGCCCCGCCCGTTGAACTCTTCGGCCTGCCCACCCAGGGCCTCCTGCACGGCCTCATGGCCCACCAGGACCACCACGCGGCGCCTCGGCCCCAGGTGTACAGTGAATACGGGGCCATACTTCTGGCTCAGCTGCAGGTGGGGACAGAGGATGGGGTGTTGGGCTGCCAGTCCGTGTGTCCTCAGGATCCCCTGTGCTGCAGGGGTCACCTGCTCCCCTCCCCTCCAGCCTTCCAGCCCTGGTGCCTTCCCAGGGGAATGCTTTCTCCAGGCAAGACAGTCACTTTCTCCAGGCACGACAGTCCCCGTCTGGGTTCTGGGTTCTGCCCTCACCCCCCCCACCCACTCTGGGTGGCCCCATGCTTGTCCCTGTCCCCCCACCTCTCAGCCTCTCTGCCCTGGCCCTCCCTCCCAGCACAAACAGCCTGGTGGGAAGGTCCATTTTCTTCCTGCTGGGTGGGGGCGGAGGGGAGGGGGGCAGGGGGAGGGTGGGCTCCCTCCATGTTCCCTGCACACACAATCTCAGGCCCCTAAGCACAGTCCTGCCTTGAACCTCCCAGCACCCCACCACACCCCGCTCGGCTTTGCTTCAGTAATCCACCAGTTCCCCCACTATGTAACCACCTTTTTTTTTTGCTGAACTCACAAATTCTGGAGCAGCCACTGCTGGGACTTGCCCTATGTTGCTTCCTGCCTTGCTATGATGTGCAAGTACCCCAGCCTGGTCTCCTTTTAAGTGGGGAGACGCCCACCTGTTCCCCCTGCCACAAAGCTTGGGGGACCTCCCCACCCCCAGCTGTCTCTTCTTTCTCAGATTCATTCTCCTTCCTGGGTCGCAGGACCGGCGCCAGCTCCCTCGGAGTGAGAGTGAGGGGGTGGGGGAGGGAGGAGGGGAAGGCGAGCCCCACCTACCCTCCCGCCCTGATTCTCTACAGATTCCTGGAACCCTCCACCCTGTCTCCTCTCCCCGCTCCCTGACCCGGACACAACCCTTCCCCAGACTCCCCAGCAGAATCTTCCCTGCAGGCTCCCACACTTGCCCTGGATTCTGGGGGTCCCTCTGTCCTCTGACTCCCTGGCCCTCCACACCCCCAGCCTCACCGGCTCCCTGGAATTCAGTGGGCTGCGCCTTCCAGCCCTGGTGCCTTCCCAGGGGAACGCTTTCCCCAGGCACGACAGTCCCCGTCTGGGTTCTGGGTTCTGTCCTCCCCTCCACTCCGGGTGGCCCCGTGCTTGTCCCCGTCCCCCCACCTCTCGGCCTCTCTGCGCTGGCCCTCCCTCCCCGCGCACGCCTCCCTCTGCAGGTCCCGGGTCCTCACCCGCAAGAGCCCCGAGTAGAGCGCGCCGGGCCTCAGCTGCAGAAGGTTTCCCAGCAGCGGCAGCGGCGCGGGCCCGGGAGGCAGGTGGCGGGGGGCACGGGTCCCCGACAACGCCAGCGCTGCTAGCAGCAGCAGCAGCAGCAACAGCAGCGCCCAGGTGCAGGCCGCCTCCATGACCCAAGTCAGCGCGCCCAGCTCCGCGCGCTCCCGGGCGCTCCACGCGGCACGGCCGGGCGGGGTGGGCGAAATCAGGCGGAGGGGGCGGCCGCGCCTCTGCCCGCCGCCGTATTTCTTCCGCCGAGAGCTTGGAACCTGAAACGGAGTCCGGGACGCCGGCTCGACGGCCGCTTGGGTGTGCGCGGCGCGGGGCGGAGACAGCGCCTAGACTCCAGGTGGGGCATAGGGAGGAACCTGGAAACGGGAGACCTTGGCGGCCTCCAGCTGGCCACACCCCGCGCCTGGCAGTGACCCTGCGCCGCCGCCTCCCCCACCACCTTTGGCTCTTTGGAAAGGGGGTGTGTTTGCGCGCGCGCGCGCGCGGGCGGTGCCAATTTCCTCCCGCATCTTCCACCGTCTCCTCCAACCTTGACCTTTTCTGAAGAAGAGTCTGAGATCGGAGAAGTTCACCGCGTGGCCCTAGGCCACACCGCTGCTGGATCTGAACTCCAGCGGGTCTGAATGACGAGCGCCTTCATTCATTCGCTTGCTCAGAAAACGCCCTAGGTCCGGGGTGTGGTAAGGGTCAGATTTTTTTGAAGCCAGGAGATTTCGAGTCGCAGCCCGGCTTCTCGGTCTTCTTAGCTGTTGCAAAAGAGACGCGGTTTTCAGAGTGAAACACGAAGCATCCGGAGCGTGCCTGGTCCTAGAATTTCCAACAGCTAGGAGAGACCCTTAAACGGGTTAAAAGGGGGCCGGAGGGATAGTACAGCGGGTGGCTCGCTTGCCTTGCGCGTGGCCAACCCGGTTCGATCCCCAGCATCCCATACATATGGTCCACTGAGCAGCGCCAGGAATAATTTCTGAGTGCAGAGCCAGGAGTAACCCCTGAGCATCGCCCCAAGAAAAAGAAGGCTTCAGTAGGCTTGGTTAATTGTTAAACTAATTGTTGCAGGGGTTTCCTTACAAAAAAATACTGTTTTGACCGAGTGTTGAAGAAAAGGTAAAGTGATATGCATGATACCCTTGAGAGAGAGAGAGAGAGAGAGAGAGAGAGAGAGAGAGAGAGAGACAGACAGACAGACAGACAGAGAGGGAGAGCGACAGAGAGAGGTGGAGGGAGAGAGGAGAGAGGAATGTCTCTCTGAAATAGAGTCAGGTTGGTGGGTAGGGCGGGGAGACTGGGGACACTTGTGGTGGGAAATGTACACTGGTGAAGGGACGGCTGTTGAAACATTATAAGACTGAAACCCAATCGTGAACAACTTTGGGGCTGTATATCTCAGGGGGATTCAATTAAAACATTAAAAAAAAAGACAAAAAGACTTTGTCCTTCATGGCGACAGGCTATGAATAAGTGGCCGAGGACCCAGCCTTTCTGGAGCAGCAGCCACATGCAAATGAAGTGGGATTTAGAATAATTGCAGAAAAGCTTCTGCAGACCCGTGCTTGCTTGCTGAGACTGGAGACAGTTGCATTGTCCCTGCAGGACCCTGTCTGCTTGGTTCTCAGTTGTGTAACTGTGTGTACAGCAGGGACCAGCTCACAGGTAAATTCTCTGAAAGTAGGATGCTGGAACATTGTATGAATTGCAATCATAAGCAACTTTATAACAATGTATCTCATGGTGATTCAATTAAAACTAAATAAAGATATTAAAAATAAAAATAAAACTAAATAAAAAACCAGAACAAGTTAATTTGCTTCTTAAATTCAGTTCATTCCTAAAGATTTTACTTTTGCTCATGTTGAAATGGTTAAATATTATCTGATTTTCCCCAATGCATACTCTTGTGTTTATTCTCAATATGTGTACTGCTCACAACTCATATAAAGAATTTTTCTTTGTCATTAAAAAAAAAACCCAAAAGATTGATTGTAGGAGAGGAAGTTGGTCAGGTGAATGGGTGAATGGGGTCCATCTTGCAGTCCCTTGGGGAAGGGCTTAGTTGTTTTTTAAGACTCAAAGCTTTGTTTCTAGTGGACAGGAGGGGTTTCCAGGTTACACCTACTTTTTTTTTCTTTTTGGGTCACACCTGGTGATGCACAGGGGTTAATCCTGGCTTTGCACTCAGGAATTACTCCTGGTGGTGCTGGGGGCAGGGGGAGGGACCATATGGGATGCTGGGAATCGAACCCGGGTCAACCACGTGCAAGGCAAATGCCCTACCTGCTTTACTATCTCTCCAGCCCCTACACCTAAATTTTTATTTATGAAAAATGTCAGTAGCACCGTGGATGCCTGTGTATCCTCTGAGATTTCACCATTGACATGGTGCCACCTTGCTGCGTCTCGCACCTCTTGTCTTGCCCACCAGTCTGTCTCTGTGTCTCTTCTGGATGCCCTTCAGAGTCAGCTGTGGGAGCCAGTACACAGCACCAACCTCTGCACACTCATGCCAACATACACGTCACTTATCTGGGTGTTTGGAGATTGTTTCTACGCGTGCCAGGTAACTTTCCATACAATGAGATGTGCATATTGTAAGTGTATATTAGATGAATTCTTTTTTCTTTGAACCATACCTGACGATGCTCCCGACTGTGCTCAGGGCTTACTCCTGGCTCTGTGCTCAGGGATCACTCCTAGCAGTGCATCGGGGTGGTGGGGATTGAACCCAGCCATATGCAAGGCAAGTGTCCAACCTGCTGTCCTATCGCTCTGCCCCCTTAGGTGAACTCTGACCAGGGCTTACATTGGTTTAATCCAAAGTCTTGTCAGGACACAGACATGGAATTACCATAATTCCAAAGCTTTTTTTTTTTTTGCCACACCTGGCAGTGCTAAGGAGTTATTCCTGGCTCTACACTCAAGGATCACTTTTGGAGTTTTTCAGTGGATCATATGGGATGCTGGGGATCAAACCTGCATGCAAGGCAAATGCACTACCCATTGCCTTACCTACTGGACTGTTGTTCTGGTCCCTGAGGGTGTTTTTTACAGAGGGAGGGGGAAAGTGAGAGGGGATCCTTTGGGGGTATGAAGCTGGTGGGACAGGTTTTGTAGAAGGGGAGAGGAGTTTTCCTAGGGCCCTGCCTCTCCCCACTCCCCCAGGTTCAAGATGCCAGTTAGATGACCCCGGGGGGGGGGAAAGTTGAGAAGATATACAAATCAGAGGTAAGATTTGGGACCCCCAGAACCTTCCAGAACAAGCGAATTGGGAACTGAGAATTGACATCTTCGCCTGGAGGTGGTGGCAGTAAAGCTTCAGATCAAGTCATGGGGGAAGGGACAGTGGCCTGTAATAAAAATTCTAAGAGTTTAGAATTTTAAGAGTTTATTTTTCTAGAATGGTCTTAATGGCCAGATCCTGCATTCCCCAAATTCTAAAGATTCCAAGACCACATTTACTGGTAATAAAATTTAAGGCCCTCAGGATGGTCTTAAAGGATCTCCTAGATTTGTCCCCTGGCTGGGGCTGGGGTGCAGCTCAAGGACAGAGGTTGTCTCCACTCCCTCCTGTTTAAGACCCTAGATTTGAGCCCTAGAACTACAGAATAAAATTTAATTTAGAACCACTCACTTTGCTTTTGGTTCTCCAACCCTGCCGGCTTTCTTCCTGTTTCTTTTTTTTTTTCCTTTTTGGGTCACACCCGGCAATGCACAGGGGTTACTCCTGGCTCTGTACTCAGAAATTACTCCTGACGGTGCTCAGGGGACCATATGGGATGCTGGGAATCAAACCCAGGCCAGCTGAGTGCAAGGCAAATGCCCTACCCGCTGCGCTATCGCTCCAGCCTCCTTCCTGTTTCTTTTTAAAGTTCTTCTTTGAGGAGAGGGACAGATATAGAATGACTGCATTCATTTGTGGTATATAGAAAGAATAATATCCACGGCTAGGGAAAACAGGGGCTAGGAGGTCTGGTCAATGGTTGGAATCACCACAAGTATGTGTGGGGCCCAGTGTAGGTAAGATAGAGAAGGGACAATATGACAATAATAGATGGAAATGACTATGCTGGCCAAGAATTGAGCATTAAAAGTAGGTAAAGAGGTATACCTGAAAACCTTTCAGTATCTGTGTTGCAAACCACAATACCCATGGGGGGGGGAGGGAAAGAGAGAGAGAGAGAGAGAGAGAGAGAGACAGAGAGAGAGACAGAGAGAGACAGAGAGACAGAGAGACAGAGAGAGACAGAGACAGAGACAGAGACAGAGAGACAGAGACAGAGACAAACAGAGACAGAGGCAGAGAGGCAGAGAGAGTGCTTGCTATAGAGGCAGGCTGGGGGTCTGGGGGTGGGGTGGAGGGTGATGGGAGGGAAAGCAGGGACATGGGGACAGTGGTGCTGGGAAATGTGTACTGGTGAAGGGATGGGTGTTGGAACACTGTGTGACTGAAACCTATTCATAACAGCTTTGTAAGGACCTACCTCCTAGAGATTAAATGAAAAAAATCTTAAAAAACAAAACCATCTCAACAAAAAAAACTATTCTTCTTTAAATGATATTGTGGGGGGGGGACTGGAGCGATAGCACAGCGGGTAGGGTGTTTGCCTTGCACGCGGCCGACCCGAGTTCGATTCCCAGCATCTCATATGGTCCCCCAATCACCGCCAGGAGTAATTTCTGAGTGCATGAGCCAGGAGTAACCCCTGTGCAAAGCCAGGTGTGACCCAGAAAGCAAAAAAAAAAAATGATATATAGGGAAAAGACTTTGGGCCACACTTGGGGCAGCTCAGGTCTTATTCCTGACTCTGAGATCATGGCTCATTCCTGGTGGGGAACCATTTGGGATACTGGGGATCAAACGCAGGTCTGCCATGTGCAAGGCAAGTATACTACCTGCTGTGCCATCTCTCTGACCCTTATTCATCTTATTCTTATTAATTTATTTTGATTTTTTGGGGCCACACCCAGCAGTGCTCAGTGTTTACCGGCTTTGTGCTCAGGGATCCCTCCTGGTGGGGCTGGGGGTACCATATGTGGTGCCAGGGATGGAACCTGGATTGGCCATATGCAAAACAAGTACCTTACCCACTGTACTATCTTGTGGCTCTAAATTAAATTTTATCCTGTGGTTCTAGGGCTCAAATTTCGGGTCTGAAACAGGGGAAAGGATGAGGCAAACTCTGTCCTTGAGCTGCACCCCAGCCCATGCCAGGGGCCTGAAAGTTTGCAGGATCAAAGGGCTGAAATGTGTGCTTTGCATGTGGGGGGCTCGAGTTCCATCCCCAGCATCACACTTTTTCCTTGAGCCTTGCAGGGAGATACCCCTGAGCATAGAGTCTTTAGCTCTACTGAGTGTGGCTTAAAAATCAAAGAATATGGGC